CAGTGACCACGTAATGCTTACAGATTTCTTATTGTCTTCTATTTACATATTAATGAGCTCATTATTAATAATAATAAACACGTTTTATAAAATTGAGATGAAACGACACATCATACACATGTCTGAACACGTCTTTAGACCATAATTTTTATCTAGTGATAACCGATATTATTTGGTTTGATGAGATGATGCAATCGTGAGCAATAACAACTCAGGACATTTGGCAAGTATAGCCTACGATTATTGCAAATCGTGTAAGTGATTAAAATGGAAAACTATAATAAATCTATTCAGCTAGTAGATAACTATGATGTTGCTTTCTTTTAAAAATAATAGATAGGTACCTATAGATGCAGAATGTCATATCGTCCCAAATCATCCATATTAAAAAAAAACTCCGACTATATTTTTTTTCCCATATCCTCCTCTCCCTCGCTCCCTCCCTCTCCCATCTCTCCTTTTCAGTGATAGAACAGGCAAATATCTTTAGACCTACCGACCATAAAATTAAAAAGATCTAAGAAATGACTAACCCTTCTAATTTTTTTACAATGAATAACTTCAGTTAGAATTTGGCGTTGGATGTGTAATAATGTGTAATAACCCAATAAAGTAAATAATCTGGGTAAGCGCGCTACATCCTAGGTCTTGCTATCATTTACCATCAGATGAGGTAAAACCAAGCGCAAAACCATTATTAATAATAAAAAAAATGGTTAACAAACAATATAGACGATGATCAACCGACAACAATAAATAAATAAAGCACTTATATAACGCCATCTTTTATTTAATTATTATATTAATTGTTAAAATTTTTTTTGGGAATTACGTATAAATAAAAAAAATAGTCATATTGGGTACATTTCTTCCAATTTTCTTTAACCTATATGTTGACCCATATGTAACAACATACTATGAGAAAATAACAATTAGGTACATCGTATGTAATTACGATGTAATTGTATTATTTAATTGGACAAGCTGGCTCTCCCGCAATAAACCGGTTACGTGCGAAAGAACGGTTCGTATTAAGGTTGTAACATACGTTCGTTCGGTTTTATTTATTTCTTCATTTACAGCGATTTGTAGAAATTTATATAGAGTGTATATATTCTTTTGATACAGCACTTTTTATTCTATAAAACTGTGTTTTTAGTTTTTTTGGATAATATAATTTTTCTTTGTTTTTATGTCTCCGAAATGAATTATCCAGTAGGCAAAAATCTGCATTTTCGACACCTGCTTTTCTTCGCTTATCATTGTGATCAAAAAGCAGCTGATATCGCTCGGGACATATGCAATGTGTATGGAGACGATGTCATAGGCGAGCGTGCAGAACAAAAATAAAAGTAAAGTTTAAAAAGAGCGACTTTCAGCTCGAGAACAGGCTTTGCAGCAGACGAAGTGCAAAATTCGAAAAAAACATTTGAAGGCACTTTTGAAGTAAAACAATGACCAAACAACGCATGAATTGGCCGAAAATAAACACCTGTGCTATTACGATCTCCCGCCACCTTCAGTCAACGGATTTTATCCAAAAACTCAGAGCTTAACTCCTTTACAAACTTAACGACTTCAACAAAGAAAATTGCCTTCAAATTGCTGTTCAACATATGGCCCGCCATCGTACAATATTCGGTCATAAACAGTGTTTTTTGTACCGGATCATCAAATAAATGGTGCTTGTACGTCAATATAAAGCAAAGAAAAGAGTGAGTGGCTCCAGGAGATCCACCGTATCCTAGAGTCAAGCTGAATCTCCACTCAAAAAAGACTTGGAGCGACTGGAAATGCATGGTATACTGGAAATTGCTTCAAAAAGAAATCTACGAGCAACAAGGAGCTCTATATTGCTCAACTGCACCGCGTGAATGAGGCTATTCATCTAAAAGACCCGATCGATAAGGCCTAATCATCCTGCTTCACGATAATGCCCAGCCCCATGTTGCGCAAGTCGTCAAAGCAGCCATCTAAGAGCTCGATTGGGAGGTTTTCAGAACCCGCCGTACTCTTCCGACCTTGCGCCAACCGATTGACATCTTTTACACTGCATCTCAAATCAAACGAGGGGTGTGACTTTCGACAATGATGAACACCTCAAAAATTGGCTCAACCACATCTTTGATACCAGATCGGGCGATTTTTGATGAAACGGAATCAACAATATAGTCGAGAGGTGGGACGAAGTTCGGAATAGTAACGGGCAAAGGTCATTGATTAAACTATTGTTTTTTGTCTAAATATACCTCTTCGAAAAAAACCGAACGAACTTATATTACAACCCAAATTACAATTGAAACACCTATATAGGTATAATACATTTTAACTATTATTTTTTTATCTTCCCTCATTTGTTATTTATACAAAATCATTCAAGTATAAGTGAAAAACAGAGAACAATTATAGAAGACCTATAGTAATGTACGGATTGTAATAAAAATATCTTACTAATTTTATAATCGCGAAAGTCTCTAAATACTGATGGATACCTAGATGAATGTTTGTTACTCTTTTATACAAAAACTACTGAACGATTTTGATGAAACTTTACAGTAATATAATTTATACATCAGAATAACATATAGGCTATAATTTAAAATAATATTAAGTAAATGGGGAGAAATATAATGATAAACGTCAAGTAGGTAAGTGTGATGTAGGCTAGGTTGCGTCAGCTATGTACATAATCAATATAAAAGTTCTATCAAATCAAATCAAATAATTATTGTTAATGCATTTAACAGTGGTGTCCAAAATGCTTTCTCCTTGTACAAATTTTTAGTACCTTACTTCTTTGAACTGTGTTTTAACTCCTTAGGATTTGACCCGACAACTCATGTGCGATTTATCTAACATGTAAACGTACTCATTTTAAAGTAACAGATGAGGCTACCCTCATAATAAGGTATGTATTATAAGGAATATCTACATATTCTTTATAATGTATACCCTATAACCAAGGTACAAAAGGTCTTATCTATCCAGCAGTCTCTTCCAGAGTAGAGGAAAAAAACAGGGTGTTGTGCTAGGTGGCGCAATAATAAAATAGTAATGTATAGGCATAAGTAATAATAGTAGCAGAATAATATTACAAATGAGTAATATGTAAAGAAGATAAAGATAATACTTACTTATTGAATAAGTAACATTGTATGATGTATATATTTGTTTATTTATCACAATTATGCAGTCATCCCATCCCATCTGACCAAGCACATGCTTGTCTACGCACATATAAACGATATTGGTAATGCATCGTAGTTAGGTACATCGACTGATTTTAATGCATAATTTATTATATTTATATGCATTAATCGTACAATGTTAATGTCATGAATGCAATAGGTCGGTAGGTCATATGACCTACCATACCTGAATATGAGAACGGGTATTCATTCTCACATTTTTTTCTTCTCTCAATTTCTCAATCTTATTTAATTACTTAACCAGTTTGTGTATTTAACATTTCGACTCTAATGAATTAGTGCTAGTTGCTAGTTTGTATTCACTCATTTCAACTTAACAATTTTTTTTTCTGCAACAATTAGATAATTATTAAGAATTGCTCGTTTTTTTGTAATGAGGCAGCTTTCTGAATGAGCGTTAGATTAAAAAATAAGTATTACCATTCCAAAGCGCTTACATTTAAGTTTCTTTTTAATAAAGATTTTCTGTTCTACTAAATTCTAATAAAATCGAAAGATGAATTGAACATTTTCGTTATTTTACAAAGTTACAGGTATGGTATCTCAGTATCACCTATTTCAGCTGTAGCTTCTTTTGTATGCATGTTTTGGTTATAGGTTGAGATTAGACAGTAGGTAGTAAAAGTATTATGACATCTTAGTCTTCTGAAATGACAATACATGAGTGGTATCACCGGCGTCACAAGATATGATGTTCGTACTTAGGCGTTACTTTGGGCAATCAGTTTGGTTTCAAAATGGCTTCCGGATTAGTAGGTATATTTACGTTTAACCCAGGCCAACAAGCTGACAGGCTAATTGATGGTAAGTGGTAACAGTCTATATACATGAACACCATTACGTATGAGTTATGTAATAACATTACGTTATCAAGTGACGCCCGTCATGCGTTGTCATTGCAGAGGACTAAAATATCATGCCGCTTATCCTGTAATTTCTTTACTAACCTTATGTATTTCTCATAAAGACGAGAAATTAGCTACAAATAAAACAAATCGGATACATTCTGCTGTATCATAATATTTGGCACATTTACATTACTTACTAAAAACGTTACCATATTTTGACAAACATTACAAAGTTGAACACAAAGCAATATCATATAACAACAGCCGAATTTCAGCGATGGTTAGTTTGAACTTTATTACATCACATTATTGAAAATATTGATTGCTATTTGGCCCGAGATAACAGATAACAGTGTCAATAAATAATAATAATATATAATAATATTTTTATACAATTTATATTATATACCTAAGAATTTTATATAGTTATCTAGACGCACCAGAAAAGCACTAAAACATTATAAATACCGTTCATTCATTAAACTATCAATATTATAAACATTTCATAAGTTTGACGTATCAAGAAGTCAATTATATTTTTTTAATTCCAAACTTGCATTAGTAAAGTGGAGTAACAGGTGTAAGTATTAAGGCCCAGAAATTATTAGGCACTACATGTTGGGTCTATTATGAACACACAATTGTAACAACTGCGGTATTACGGCCCAGGAATTACAAAGCACTACTTGTTGGGCCCATTGTCAACATATAGTTGTAACAGAAGCGGTATTATGGCCCAGGAATTACTAAGCACTACTTGTTGGGCTCCTTATAAATAGAGTTGTAACAAAGGCGGTATTACGGCCCAGGTATTATTAAGCACTACTTGTTGGGTCCATTGTCAATAGAGTTGTGATGGTTGCGGTATTAAGGCCCAGGTATTTTTAAGCACTACTTGTTGGGTCCACTATCAATAGAGTTGTAGTAGCTGCGGTGTTAATGCCTAGGAATTATTAAGCACTACTTGTTGGGTCCATTGTCAATAGAGTTGTGATAGCTGCGGTAAGGTCCAGGTAAGGCCCAGGTATTATTAAGCGCTACTTGTTGGGTCCATTGTTATCATAGAGTTGTAATAGATACAGGTATTACGGCCCAGGAATTATGAAGCACTACTTGTTGGGTCCATTGTCTGCATAGTTGTCAGCAGCGGAATCAACATCACCTGGCTTCTCTGTGCGGACCGCACAGTAGGAGCTGGTCGTACTTCTTCATTTGCCGGGTCGCAAGTTCCACGTCCACGTCGGTCACGTAATAAGCTTCAAAGTTATTCAGCGGGCGCAGCATGGAATACAGTCGCTCGGCGTATTTTCTGCAATATATCATTTTTACATTTTTGTCACTACACTTGACTACAAATTTTACATTTTTGAACTATCACAATGGTATTGGGCGGTAGAAAAAAATACTATACGGTACAAATATTAGTATTCATGACTATGATTATTCGTTTAGGTTTGGGTCTTTTCTATGTATGTACAAAAAATGTATCCAGGTTTATATCAGTTATCCAGTACTCATAACACAAGCTCCGCTTAGCTTGGGACTAGATGGCGCTGTGTGATTTACCCTGAGATATTTTATTACATATTATATTGTACGTAGTATCGTCAAATTAATGTAATCTTATACTCGATCTCGCTATAAAGTTTGAATACGCAAATTATATTATATATAGAGTATTATCGTGCAATTATTATCATTGTGTTATGTTCGTTTTAATTTCAAATCATATATATTGACGTATTATTTACGTTACAGGTCAACAGCTGAATATATCCAGCGAAATATTAACATGTAGCTGTAGCGTGCACCTCAAACACGATGTCGACAGTTGATAATACTTCTTTACACCTCATTTCGGATATTAATTGTGAGTGTAGTGAAATTGTGTAGCTGCTGAATTTCACCATTGCACTACCCGCCATAAACTAAAATACCATCCTGATCGTCTGGATGAATGGCGGTCCTCCACAGTGCACTTTTCCAGAAACTTTGTGCCACGCACAACCACATTGTGGAATCACCTTCCAGCAATGGTATTTCCGAAACAGTACGATATTGAAGACTTCAAGAAAATAACTTATTCTTTCTTAAAAGACCGGCAACAATTCCCCTTGCGTTACGGGTGATCATGAGCGGCGGTAATCACTTATTCTCATGTGAACCGTAAGGTCGTTTGTCCCCTATTCTATAAAAAAAGGTATATTTATATGCTTGCTATAGTTACCACTTGAAACGCAAAGTGATATATCTTCTAAATACTACAAATATTTAGATGTAGATAGTGTTAACTGTTGTCTATAGACATAAACAAAATGGCCAGTTGGTTTAATTATTAAAGGAGTTCTAGTAAGAGGAGTGTGTAAAGTGTTTCAAAAACGCAATAAAACAAATCATTATCAATACCTATCGAGATCTAAATGCGGAAGAATAGAGTCCAATTTCATTTACCTCGTATCTGTGTTCTTGTCGTCTAGCAAGGCGGCCATAGATCTGAGGGCGTGGCGACGAGCGACAGCGGCGCTCGCGGGCCGGGTCCTCAGCAGTTCCCTGCCGCCGTTGGCGAGCGCGCAACACACCACGAGCAATCGCGCTGCTGCACATCGTACTAGTGGACTCTTGTGACTATAGTCGGGAACATTCATCACCGGATAAGCGGCAAGGCAGTCGTTGCTAGCAGCTTGTTTACCATTTTTTTCATAAACTTTGTATTTTTGATATCTGTTTTTTATAGCTCACTTTTGACTGTTACTTCTTCGCTGTGAGCCCTTGTTGGGATATATACACATTTATTACTATCATTCTGATTTTTAATAAAATAGTCGTGTTCTCGCTCCAGTCACAGCAATAATAATATAAAGAGGGTAGACCACCAGACCAGAGATACTGTTAAGTCATCTGCTTGGGTACATCTGTGTCACCTATTTTAGCCTCCAAGTAAGGCTGCGCAAGCTATGTTTCGGTTTTATTAATACCTAAATATGATAATGGATTGATGCACCTACCTGCGCTGACAGTTTTCGATGGCGGCGCACTAGTAGAGGATGATAAAAGGAGGAGAGACATGATAAGAGGAGGTCAGGTCAGTTAGCTCATCGTGACAAATTCACCAGGAATTTATCACAATGGTTTCCAGGAGGAATCGCTTGGGAGTCAATCTGACTTGGTACATTGTTAGCAATGGGATTATTAGTCCATATTACTAACAAAATTCTGAATAGGCATCACTATTTTTTCAATCTACCGCTCATTCGGAAAGCTGTCACATCACAAGACGAATGAGCGAGAAAATTGCGTGTTGCTCTTTTAAATAGTAGTTGTAACCTTACATTTTTAAGTTGAAACGTGCGAATACGAACTATCAACTAGCACGTACCTAGTGCCATGGACACAGAGTGCAGTGACGGCGTGAGTGAGCTCGACCCCGCAAACAATATCATCGAGCGCCACGTTTGCCGCACGCCGCACCGGCCGACTGAAGTTGCCAGTTTTCGTTAGCAGAATTGTTACCGCTTCATGAAAATCCTGATCGAATATGAAATATTAGGCACATAGCCATTGTTTTGTTCCCACACTCGCTGTGGTAGCATGTAACCTCAATGGTTTCTAAAATTTTGACGTGGATCGTCGCTGTTCTTTTACAATTTTACTAATCTCTTGTTGTTTTATTTAATAATATTTTTCTTCAATACGGTAGCGGAGATTAAGATATAATGAATTTGAATTCAATATACGTTTGTGGTGATATTTGCGGAGAAATAAATTTGAAATTGTAGTTTGAAGAATAATGGCGAATTTGAATTCTGCGGTTACTCGGGCTGTAGAAAATCTAAATGGGCTTTCAAATTACACTCAAAGGAAGTTCATCATGCAAATGGTAGGACTATTCACATAAATCCATGAGGATTTGTGGGATTGCACAGAGCAGTGAAATTACAGGATAAGAGTAACATCTTAGTCTGCTGGAATGAAACACGTGATACCACTCATGTATTGCGCATGGTATCAAGCGTGTCAGATGATAACGTGATGTTTGTAACTACGAACAACATATACATGAACAACACTTTGTTCAAGTATATAGACGCCGGATACCACTAACCAGAAGGTGGACGTGGCAGGTGGAGGTGACCTTTAGCTTGTTTAACATTACAATTACATTAAAACAAGTAGCATGGGTTCCAAGTTATTGAACAAAACAATTTGGGATGCGTACAAAAATTGTAGGTAATGATAACTAGTCTTAAACTTAATAATATTATAAACGCGAAAGTTTGTAAGTATGGATGTTTGTTACTCTTTCACGCAAAAACTATTGAGCTGATATTGATGAAACTTTACAGTAATATATTTTAAACCGCGGGGACAGATATATAAAATAAAAAAAAATACCGGTTTCTTCGTGTAGTTGGTGTTTTTGATGATGGCAGCTAATGTGCTGCACGCCGAGCGAGCCACTTGTGTACGCGGCGATTCTATGTGAGCACTCACCTGCCAATAAAACTTTGTACTAAAATAAAAAAACAGAAAATCATTTATATATTGTAGGATATTTTAGCCGCTTATAAACGTCGAGAAAATCTCGATGTATTAATATTTTTCCCCTACAGTCAACTTTTAGAATATGAGTACAGATTCAATTGAGAGGAACTGGCAAGAAACTCAAGGCGGGTAGTTCTGTATGTATCATTCTTCCTCGAAAAAAAGGTCTACCTGAAGTAATTAATTGGTATCTCGGTTTAGCCCCACAGTTTGAAAAACACTGATTTAGAGCTTACAATATTACCTAAATAATATTTTTTTATTGCGCTTACATGATTACATAGTATAAAACAAAGTCGCTGTCGCTGTCGGTCCATCCCTATGTATGCTTAAATCTTTAAAACTACGCAACGGATTATGAAGCGGTTTTTTTAATAGATAGAGTGATTCAAGAGGTAGGATTATATGTATAATACATGTACACCCGGGCGAAGCCGAGGCGAGTAGCTAGTGTATAATAAAATACAACATAGTTATAAAGCGTGTCTAAGGATGGAATTATCTCTGAAAGAAATCTCTTCCAGCCAACCTAAGAAGTAATTAGCGGATAATGTCAATGCAACAGTTCTAAATAGGTACATAAATAAAATATCACAATGTCAGTCCATTATTATATTTATATATTAATATTGCATACTAGTAGACTCGGGCACTGTCGCTCTGGTTAATAGATAAATAATTTACAATAAAATAATATTGCGTCTATAAATTGAGATGTAAGCTATCCTATCTTTCAAGTTGGATCAAATTGCATACAATATGCAAATCAAATTTACAATCGGTTCAGTAGTTTAAGAGCCTAAGGTCTAACTTGGCTAGTTTTCATATACGAAATATACTGTAGCCTTCGCAAGTTCTAAACATGTTACTTGTCGGTTCCTATTTTAATATTAATAGTAACTAGCAATCGAAAGTAATAATTGGTATATGAGAACTGGCCAAGTTAGACCTTAGGCTACAGTATATTATCCTAAGTTATAAGAAGAAATGATATTTTATATTGTTATAAATACATTTCAGGACAGATCATTGAACTTGGCACCCATTTAGATCTCATCTCTTTTGTCGTAGAAGTCAACAATCAAGGTATATATCATAATATTAAACTCGGCTATCATTTCACATTTATGTTTTTGATGGGATTAAATTCTACTGATTTAATGTGATTCGTAATACACTTACATGTCTTATTAAGTCCGCAATTCGATTTTCTGTTATTACACCCCAGAACTTTTCCAATACTATAGACGCATCTTGAAGCGTATCAGTTACTTCCAACCTGTACATATAAAGATGTACGGTACCTACATTTTGTCCTAACAGGGCGATATGATGGATATTTATATTTATGTTCATATTTAGGTATAAGATAAGGATTTGACAGCCTCGGTGGTCCAGCAGTTTAGCACACCGGTTTTATTCAATGGTTGCGGGTTCGATCTCTCGCATGATGCATATAATAATATACATGAGTATATTCGTTTGTCCGGTACAAATCTTGATGATTTTCAAGTGAATTTGTCACGATAGGCTAACAGATCCAATCTCAGGCTCATTCTATCATCCTGCAATGGTGCTCCACGAGTGTATAGATTTTAATATAGAATTTTATTTTTAATTCTGCGTATAAAACAAATACCAAGAACTAGACCGCAGTCTTCTCAGTAATTCGACACAAAGCGCCTCGCATCCTCGCTCAGCAATATCTCCAAGCTTGCTTTCATCAGGTGAGTTGCTATTCGGTGAAACACTCCTGCTTGTTCTGCTCTCTGTAGACCTAGAAGGTGCCATAAAAAAGCTGTTGTAGTAATAAGAAAAAGACTAGGTAAACGGAGAAAATATATTAAAATAGACTACTGATAATTAGGAATAGAATTGAATTATTAAAAACAAGAATGTAATATAAAAGAACTATAAATTCAAAAACAAATTTAGAATATAAAATACATATCTGATTAGCCAGTTACAACAAAAACAAAGTACATTAGCTGGAAAAATAAATAGAAAATGAAGAAGTACTGTAAAGAGTTTCAGAAAAGACAAATCTACCTATACATATAAATAAAATTAGAGTGTCTGTTTGTAATATAGAAACAACCGTTTTTTACTACATGCTTATGAATATAAATACGTACCGTATTACTAATACACCAAAATATATATTTTTTACAATTTTTAACATTTTCACAAAACAAACAATAATAATGCAGACGTCGTTATCATGAGATGCCCCTAGCACACTTCATACGTTGCCATTCTATATATATATATATTATTTCATTGCCATACATAAGTTATTGTGGCAACATCAGTTTAAAGCGCTGACTATAATGTCTGTTCCACTACTATTATACTACTAACAATTTGTATTTATTGTGAGAATTAAGAAGAAAAAATATTGAGTACCAAATTTCAAAGTGTCTAGTGGTTTTTGGGAAATAGTAACAAATATGCATTCAATACCATTCGAAATTATAATATTGGTAGTATTTTAAGGTACATACGGGAAATATTTAGGATATGTCCACTGCTTTGTTTTCTTGGTTGTAGTTTTCAATTCTTTAATTCTATCATTTATGCTAATAGCATCGTGTACAGACTCTGTAGTTGGAGAAGAATATTTTCTAGCTTTTTCATTTAATGGAGCGTCAGGTTTAGTTTTATTATTATTCATTATATGACCTTCTAAATGAATAGGAGGTAACTGCACATATTGATCTCTGTCTTGTAAAATATCTGTGGCAAAAGTCTGTGATTAGAATATGTTCATTATTCACAAATGTTTTACACGAATAATTTTATAGTAAGTAAACGTTACATTTCAACTAGGTCGCCCTCATACTAACGGGGCGAAGGGATTACTATTAACCCCATTGCTAACAATTTACCATGCTATGTCGACCTCCACGCTGTAATACCCAGGAAACCATCGTTAATTCCGTCATTTTGGGCTAACTGGTCTAACTTCATGCTCATCCTATCATCCTTCACTGGTTATACCAGCGTATAGTGTTTGTGCAGGCGGTGAACCATTCCATTATCATCCATTTAAAAAACAGTACTTAAGAGTTGACCGGACTACAGCGATGCTAATATTGGTTTTTACTGTGTCTAGATTAGCTGCTCTTATTGACCGATGCTACCGTACTTTGTTTAACTTCTGAATTCTGGGCCGACGATAATTATAAGCTATCTTCCCGGTTAAAATTGGGATGTCTGCATTTCTATAGCCTCTCATACAATTCGGGTATTATTGTCTAAGGGTGGCGATCTGTAGAGAAGAGCATGCAATTCAATCTAGTGATTTTTTTCTAGTATTCAGCAGATGATCGGCAATCGGAGATATGTGGCTTTCAATTTTTTGACAGCTGCGATGTGCGCTTTAAGCCCTTCAGCTATCGATCGTCGAGAGAGGTAAGGATCTTTATTACCATTACCATAAAATTATTGGTGTTATGACTAGCTTAAGTATATTAATAACGTGTACTAAATACGAAAGCTTAACTTTTAATGTATACTTAATCCTTACCATTTCGTCTACTTATGAGTGTGCTTTCGCCCGATGCCAATTCTTTCGATCCAATTTCCCATCGATCTTTTTGTTCTTCAAACGGACAATCATTGCTTTTGTTATATAGTCTATATGGAGAGTTACTGGAAAATAAGTAAAAGTGTGGACTGTTAGGACATGATGGAACATTTGGAATAGCTGGTAATTTAAGGGATTCTTTTTTTGTATCATCTGGAAGGATCTTGATTTTGATTCCAGCGTTGTTTGTGAAAATTATATCCTTTTTACTATCATCACTTGTTATATTATTAACGTTTGGTGTTAAATCTAAAAAACTCCCATTTTTAGTAAGAGATTCTTCAGTCAAGGGTGTTAAAATTCCTATGTGACGGATTTCTGATTCACATGCTGTCTCAATTGGACGGAGTTCTAAATTATCCGCAATTTTTTTATACAAATCTTCGACGTCGTTGTCCAGAGAAGTTGGAACTTCACTAACATCACTGATACTGTCTTCATTGATGCTTACTATTTTACTTTCAATGTCAGCAAATGAATACTCTTCAACATCCATACTAGATTCTGAAGATATTTTAAAATTATCGCCGTTTCCATAATGCACTTCGTTTTGTTCTTCGCCTAGAACATTATCATCTGATTCGTCGTTTATAATTTTTATTATTTCACCTGTCGAACTATCATCATCGCTTCTGTTCTCTTCCGTTTTTTCTGACATTGGAAACTTTGAAGAACCATCGTCCAGAGAATTAGTAAATACTTGATCACACGTAATATCATGAAGGTTGTTTGTATTATATTCATTAATATCCATTTTATTTTTTATCAAATTTGTATGTGTCTCGGAAAGTTCTAACGTATATTGTACGGTTTTATTTTCAATTATAGATAATAAAGAGGTTTGTGTTTCTAATGATTTGTTTAAGACTGTTTTTTTTATAGATTCCGCTTCGGCTAGTTCCATTATAGTTTTACTTGTTTGAGTGAAATGTGTCTCTTGAGCTAGGATACAGCATTTATGAAGACTCGCAGTTGCTGATCTATTTAGCCTTTGCACATTTTCACATTGTACATCCGCATCGTGATTTACTTTAACACAATAGTTTTTTAAATCAATAATACTTTGATTGTTGTGCAGTTGAAATGTTTTATCACTATCTATATCGTCGCTGTCGTCGCATTCTATAACGTATGTATCTTTACCAGAAGAGTTATTTTTGTCTGAACTACTGTCGGTAAAGTCAAGAGAATACACGTTTGAAGTGGCTACACTTTTCTGCGAGTCTGTGTACTTAATATCCCCTACCATATCTTCAATTTCGTCATCCTGTAAGATAATGTAAATATTAGTAGTGAGAGCAATGATTAAATTGTTATAGAATTTCATGTAGTTTACTCAGACACTACAACCGGTGCTGAAGAATCATAATAATGTTTCTACTTACCATAATATAAGTAATTTAGAACAAAAATTAATACAAATTACAACGTGTGAGTGTAGTGTAACCACCGACGCGTATACCTACTATTTATGTATTTAAAAATATTTCAGTGCAATTCTGACAGGCCATGACAACTTTGAACTCCGAAATTGTCACACGAAATGTTAGTTTTTTATTTGGGTGATGTTGAGAGAGTTACCAAGCAGTTATAATTTGAAATTTATCTATAGTAAATTTTTTATTATACCCTTGACTGTGTGTTTGTCATGTACATAGCATGATATATTATTTAAGTATTATATTTGTCAACGAAACTGCTTAATTTGAGGTTTAGATATTTGCTAAACATTTTCACCCGCGATTCTGCATTCAAAGAGAAATGGTAGGTGCAAGGAATAAAAATAGTGATAGAGAAAAAGAAAGGGCTTCTTCTCAGGTCGTCTTCTTTCGGGTAGTCAGAGGATTTACGTGCAGAAAACATTATGTCTTAATACACATGAATGCGATTAGATTGCTATTACAATTAAAAAAATGTTAAATTATTAGTTTGGAAGAAGGCTGTTTCATTACATAAACAGTTAGAATTATTCTAAATTACTGATTGTATTCAGATTACGTATAGTTTTTTTTACTGCTGTTACCTGCTGCTCCGCCTGCATGAACATTTGTATTTCACTCATTTCTAGAATATTTTGATATAAAAGGTAGCCAATGTTCATTCTCGTAATACAATTTATTGAAATTTCATTAAGACCCATTCAGCCGTTTAGCTGTTAAAGAGTTACAAACAGACAGACAGATATACTAATACATTTATAATATTAGTGTGGATATGGCTAAAATCTTATAACCATACAGTATTCAACAGATCCGATAAGAGGTTTGTTATAAATGAAAAGTAACAATTTGTTTATTATTGGATGTCTCTTTTATTATTTACTACAACACTCATATCACCCAAGGTAATACACACATATATATGTAACAATTAAATCGTGCCTATCTACAATACATATATTGGTACGACATACATGATACTGTTTGATATAAGGGGCCATTCATAAATTACCTCACACTAACTCCCAGTCATGTACCCCTCCCCCGCGTCATGTCACAGCTAACATTTGGGTCGGCAACGCGCCCGTGACACCCCTGGTGTTTCAGACGTCCATAGGCTACGGTTATCATAAGATGGGCCGTATGCTTGTTTGCCATCTACGTATAATAAGAAAGATAATAATCCAGGACCCAGGACGATGGGAGTGGTCCTAGACTTCATGTATTACTAAAACGATTTTTATTATTTTACAATTAGCAAGTGTGAGACTACAAATATTCAGTGCGGTATCTTGACCAGTGTCAGTCATGGTCTAGTTGCCGAACAATCAATGCTAGGCAAACTATATCCAAACTCTATTCATCGTCTGATGATGCTTCGTTTACACGAAACACGTGTTGCAATATGAGTTCTAATGTTTTGGTGGCGGTGGTCAGGTTTCCACACTGGATATTTGTGGTCTCACACATGGTAATGGTTGCGCAATTAAACAAACAAATACAAAACCATTAAGTAATAAAATGGATATCCGCAAAATGTCACCTAATTCGATAAATATATTCATGATTTTTTTACATGAACTTTGTGACTGAGAATCCTTTGTAATATTATGTCACGCTTTGTCAATCCCCTTCCCTCTTGAAGTGTGATAATTTATGTATGGCCGCTAACATATTCCATACTACACACAATAAATACCCTTTAATTCCAACATGTCCAATAATATCTAAAACTTAACATTAAAGTACGAAAGTACCTACGCAGAACACCGAATAATTTTATATATTCAAGAATTTTATATTTATAAAAATGTAAAATAGTTAATAAATATTGTCCTCACTTATACAAATAAACCACACATTCAGTCAGGATGGTATATTTACTTTATTCTTTGGTCAGTAGTCACTAATATAGCTGCCTTTCTTTTTTTTAACGTTGTTTCACGCGCGATATAGCGCTGATGTATTTTAGCATTTTTGTGTTCACTATTGCATGTAAGATTCATGTCATTTTACTTTTATAATTTTATTTATTTCACTGAATTTATTTCCCAAAGACACAAGTTTGAGACTTATAAATTTTCAATAACTGTATAGATAGATGTCTTTGTCCCATAGTCAGATGTCCGCCATTTTGTAATATTTATTAAAAAAAAAAAAATTTATATTATTTTAGATAGCTTTTATAATTTTCAATTAGTCATTAACTTCTCAAACTGAATATATGAATTATTTTTATAAGTGGGAGAGTGTATATATACACAGAACATACACATTCCCATGTCAAACTCACAGCATGAAAAGTTTATTGAAATTATAATAAATCCCACTAAATAATATAACAAACAATAGTTATTGTATGTATTTGTCTTTTAAATACTGATTATTTTAATTATTTACTTTATTGTAAGAGATTATGAAAATCTATTAGTATATAGTAGCGAATTAATTCAAATTATGTACCTTACAGTTGTTTAGTTATAGAATCATAATTCAGTACAATTAAGCCTTATGAAAGTAGAGTTTGACATTTTATCAATACAAACATAAAACGCATTGTAATTTTTATATTACAGTGCGTGATATGTTATTATATTCTTACAGAAGATATCTCTGTGAATATTTGAATAAATATTACAATTACTATAATAAATTCTGAATACTACTAATTTGGCTTAAAAATTTGTTCAGTCCAATATGCAGTCGACAAAGGGAATTAAGATTATGATGTATTTATAATAATAAAGGGATTGTATATTAAATTATTATGTTTAACAATATTTACCTTTTAAACAAAACGTACAATTCGCATGATATGTAAAACATCAGATAAACATCTATATATAATATATAGTATAACGTAATTTTTTTCATTATAAATTCGAAATAAAATTAAATAAGTAACTATACAAATAAAAAAAATTTAACATTATAATAGAACTTCTATTACACTATCAGTCCAGACAATATTATATATACCGATACAAAGTTGTCTCCATGGATGTAATATATTTTTACTTTTTTATTTTATTTTTACTTTATTGTAATATTTTTCATTTTTACATTGTAATATATTTTTTGTTAGTCAGTGTTTCGCAATGTGGGAGTCATGCCCCACAGAGTGGCAATTCGAAAATGGACTCTTTATTAAAATTATATGGAATGTGAATTTCAATATTTCATGATATCATAATAAGTAAACATGTAAATGTTCCTATTAAATTACTCTATCTTTTGCTAAAACTGCATTAAAATCCGTTGCTTAGTTTAAAAGGTCTAAGTGAACAGATAGTGGAAGAGACTAGGAGTAAACTGACATTGATAGTAACGTAGGTGTAGTTGAGTTCAAGGCCCGAGTCCCCACCAAAATGCTGCCCACCTTCATGAAGGAGGACTACTGGTCGAAGGGGTGGTGTATCGGCGCTACTGTGGCAGATTGTCGTCATCAGTGCCGTGACCACAGAGATATAAATTTATTATTATTACAATGTATGTTAGTCTGTAAGATATTTATAATATGGGCGATTAGTAGCCTGAAATAAATAACTTCAAAATATTATGTAATAAAGATAAGTCAGGTTCATCGCACATGATACTTTTAAGAATCAGTGATAAATATATCAATAATATTTTTAATGTAGTAACTCAGTCATAACGACAGGCCAAAGTGCGACGAAACAAAAGATATTATATCCTCAGACACATAGATATAAACAATAAAAAAACTACAAGTGCAAGTGAACTAGTCATATTCTCTGTTGCACTTTGTTTCGGATATGAAGTATATCCATCCTTCAATCTATACATATAAATAAAATTTGGTTGTAATATTGAAATAACCGTTTTGTATTACATGTATGTATATGAATATAAATACGGTACATACACAAAAATAACATTTTCTACAATTTTTGCCTATCTGTCTTCAGAGAGAGATTGTGTCTGTCTTTAGAGAGATTAGCCGGAACAAACTTCCGGCTATTATCTGAAAAGGCTGGATCGATTTTGACGGGACTTTTTCGGCAGGTAGCTGATGTAATAAGGACTAACTTAGGCTACTCTTGTTTTAGAAAAATAAGGTTAAATTCCACGCGGACGAAATGATATTAATAAATCAGTATATCTTTACATAGTATAAAACAAAGTCACTGAACGCATATCTTTTAAATTAAGCAACGGATTTTATTATAGTTTTCAGCAATAGATAGAGTAATTCAAATATCGTATCAATATCAGAAATACATTACGGGAAAGTGATTCCACAATATGGTTGTGCGTGCAAAAAGATTTTGGAAGGGACGGGAGGACCACAATATGTCCAGATGTTCAGCCTATATACCTGTAGAATATACAGTTTTTGGTATAATCTATGTTTAAGATATAATTGTATAATATAAATATAGTCTATGATGTTTGTAACGTACTCTGTGCAGTTGATAGATTCTGTATTGTAAAATGGTGGGTACGACCGAATTGAATGTGAAACGCAAATTAGCTTTCCATTTAAATACAGTACAATACCAACACGGGACAATCATCGTATGACGTCACCTCTCATACATTGACATTCCAGAGAACTAAGCTATCATACTTATGCAGAGAACGACTTTTAATCAGTGCTATAAACAACTTCCATAGCAAATTGCTTGGCGACTGAAATCGGATACAGAGATACCCACCCAGACCACTTTCTACAAAGTCACTTCTGGTAAATTGAATAATTAACAGTGTAATAGAAGGTTTATATAACCGCGATCTTTATTATGTTAATTCGAGATGAATAAGACACAACACATGACGCCCTCGGTGGTCTATCGGTTTAGAAATCAAACCCTCGACCATCGGATGTAAAGTAGTGTACCTTACTTCCGATGGTAGCGAGTACAATAAATCGCACGATACAAACATTTGTATTCATTAGTTTGATTGTTTGTATCGGTTTGTGTGTTTTCTATGTATATTATATATGTACAAAAAAGTTGTTTAGTACCCATTGAATTACAATTTTAGTCAGCTTGTTATTATTATTATAATAATACAACATATGAGAATAAAATAACACAATAGTACAAAACTTGATATGCATCTTCTCTAAAATAGTGTCAGGTCTAAAAAAAATTCACTATTAACAATAATAAAAAACTTCAAATTGATCCTAGTTTCATTTTTCAGGCCTAGAATAAAATTGTAACAAAACAATTGTATTGTATTACACCAATAGCTGTAATTGAGCTAAAAATAATAATTCGGAATCTAATCTATACATACAATAAAAATGTAATTATTTGCCGTCTGTATATAGAAGATATATGAGAAAAACGATTATTAGAATTTAAAACTATTATTGATGGAATTTTTGTCTGTTGGTCTGTGCGTTCGTGGACGCAAATGTCACAAAGAGCTTGACTTATGTGGCTTTCAATAATGTATTTTGTAAGGTTCATTAAATATTTGTGTTTATTTTATTACAATAGCTGTACAAATAAATAAATAGTACAACAAAACAAGATTGTACTTTTTTTTAAATTGTGACACTATTTTAGCGAAGTTACAATAAGTACAGTCGACTTAATAAATTCTTAATTTAGAGATTAGTACATTCTGTTTAAATTATAAGGCTATAATTTAAATAAAAACACATTTAAACCGATAGTATGGTGAGATTCGGGCTAATACATATTAAAAGTGTAAAGATGATGGCAAAAATTTGTGAGTTTTCACTTCTCAGAAATTTTTGTATAAATGGCAGAACAGGTTGCCATATAATTTAGAATACATATAGACTATGAATATGGGATACTTTATATTCCGACAATGTGGTATGATAGTATATTTTTTTGTACATTTATTATTATATGCTTTTGAAGTGAAACTTCTATATAGACCTCAATAGGATTTTCGGTCACGAAAAAGCGTTACCGTGAGAGAAAGAGAAAGACTGATGGCGAAAGAGAGAAAACAGTGGGGAGTGAGAGTAAGAGATTTGAACTTTCAAAGAGAAACGCTGATGGCGACAGTGAGAGGACTACGGGCAGTCCACTCTTTCGCTTTAAGAGAAAGAGATTTGTCAAGTTTCACTTTCAGAAAGTCTCACTTCTATTATGTAACCCAACACACATACCTTTTTACCTAATCCAAGGCAAGAACGACATGTTTTTACACCATTCCGATATGAATATAACTCGGCTATACTACAATACACATACGTGTATAAATCTTATTTATATATAACTATATATAAGTAGATAAGACGACAACAGTTATTGGAAGTACGTAAGTAATATATTTTGAACATTTTCACGGTTTTACACAAATACGAGGCGGTCCAAACAGTGTTAGGCATGTTTCAGGCAAGTTATGTATTTATAACAGAATTGCCAACCTTCAAATATATGCCTAGTACGAAGAAATTAAACGTCTCGCATTTTGTGACCAATGGGAGACTTTAAATAGCGTTGTATTTTGACCGATTTCAAGTCAGAATCTCGTATACACTTCTAAGAGGACGATGTCCTCGTAGTATTGGTCAAAAATCGCGTAGGGTTGGCATCCCTGATTTACACTCACTTGTAATAATGTGTACTGGCGACACCGTAAATTAAATATAATAAATTATATAAATTAAATTAGTCAGTACCAATAAAGCAGGCGTAACACAAACATCTTATTTATTATTAAATACGATTTCAGTACCTCAAATCAGCAATTTATCAAATATAAAGATCGACCACACATCTCTTTGGTCCTTCGAGCCGGACATAATGTTTAAACACGTTTCATTGATATACTTTTAGCTTTTACTTGAACTTAAATGAATGCTTAGAAATAAATATTTTTTTAATGATCTATTGTCTATGGTGCCGTTACTGAAAAATAATTAAATAGTAATATCTGTGGTCTAATACGGTCTTTACATTAATTACAAGTGAATGTATATTGTAGTTTGGAACAGATGTAAAACTTACACCAAAGAAACCGTGTCTTATAATTTTTTTTTATAAGAATATATAAAAAAGGTGATATCTATATTCTATTGTTAATCTATGGTCTGATGGAACCGCCTAAAAAAGATTTACACAACACTTAATACATGACATTAAATATTAATATTATAATGGGGCATATGATTATTACAGTAAATTATTTATATACATGTAATACAGCTTATTTGAATATATAGAAATATATACTATTTCTTTATAATAACCAAGTCACTTGTGTATCCAAATTTAATACAGATTGTTTTCTACACATATTTAGCATGATCTTATAAGATCTTTAAAAGAAATATATTAAATTAATTTATTATTAAATAATTTTAATTACATCGGGCTAAAGTATACACAAATGTTTAAGTATTCTCTTATTTTACTACATTCTGAATATACATAATAATAGACATAGAGAATAAAAATAAATAAATCTTCACTCACGCAATTTTGTATAACAGAATAAATAAATAACAATTATATTTCTAAGACTAAAACTAAAGACCATGTCAAAATTAAAACATTTTTTTAATTTATGTAAAACATACATTTTCACATGTAACACAAGGATTATCGTTTTTTTTTTACATTGTCCACTTTATATTGAGTGTAAAATATTTATTATTATGTGTACAATTTATAAAATAAATTTAATTTATACATTTAATGAAATAAATGTGCCATAAATAACGAAGAAATAAACAGTATATCCCATATTTTAAATAAATAAAGTGTTTGTATACAAATTATTAAATTATTTAAGTATATATTTTTAATTATATTAAAGTGTACATTACAATTAACGTAAATTCTTTATATTTAAAATAAATAAAATGTTTTTTTAATTAATTATTATTTACCGTATAATTCTGTGATATGACAGTTACAAAGATGACCGAATTCAATGACTTTATAGGCCGAATGTACACAATATACTATTAGTATAGTATTTAATACATAATCTTGGATAGGTTTGGTCTGCACCAAACAATTTTAGTATGATGCATTTCTACCAAGTATACCAACATAGATATTGTTGCTGACGTACTGGCCATATAGTTTTATACCTCATATTTACATTGTATTTTCTATTAAGAACTGTATTATTTATTTCTCCTCTATCATGAGGAGATATAAAGAATAGTTCCTAAGAATATCCTTTAGCAACTAAATTCAATTTTAATTAATTAAAACTGTTGATACTCCCTAATTTACAAAGTTGTGTATATTGGTAGAAACGCAGTATAACCGACTATGTATATATAAATATACATAGATATAAATATAAAAGATTAGAAGTACGACTCAATATTTATATCATCCCTAATTTTGAATAGAGAATTCTAGTACATTTTGTTAATTTAAACTTGATATATTTAGTAAGTGAAGTAAATATTAATATTTCAAATGTACCTTATTCCCAATACAGCAAAGTCGAAAAAAGACAAATCAATATTCCCTACTAAACGTATCAAGTATAAACCTAATATATATTACGTCGTCAGCCCAGGTGGGTGCATTTCATTATCAGCCATAAAAAACACACACCTTTGCCATATATTACTTGGTCAACAAAGTTACTTACGGTGGTCGACCCGCTCAGAGTTTGCGTTTCGGACAGGTCGGGATCGAATAGGCGATGAAATGTAACTTTGAACTAACGTATAATTTAAAAAAATAATAATATTAAATATCTTTTATTTGCCTTATTAAAGAGTGGTTAACACTAATAAAAATTTAATAACTATTCCAACTTACAATAAACGTATTAATTTTGGGCTATTCTGAATATAATAATAATCGTTTTTAAAAGTCAAACCACATAAAAACTACGCCGTTTCAAGGTTACTGCAACTGTTTGTTTTTGTAGTGCTACCAAATAACCTTGAAACAGCGCACTTTGACCTGGTTTAATTTTTAAACTATATACGTACGTCATTTCAAAGTTACATCGCGGATTCGATCCCGACCTGTCCGTAACGCACTCCGAGCGGGCGGACCTTAAACAGATTAGTATTCGAAACGTGTGGCCTTAGTGTTAGCGGGTAGCGTGCGTCCGTGGCCGCCTACTCTGGCGTGAGGTAGAGGCGGCGGCGGACGCGCGACGATCAGCGCGGCGAGCGCGGCGCCCAGCCCGCGTCCCCCGCGCCCCCCGCCGCGCCCGCGCCCCCCGCCGCGCCCCGCCCCGCGCCCGCCAGCCCCGCGCCCCCGCCCCCCAGGTGCTCCGCGTGCAGCCGCACGATTTCGCTCACTATAGCAGACTCTATGTCCACACCTGAAGATGACGGTTTCTATTAGCACAGGTGCTACGAGTATTGTTATATAGCAATAGTTGCCTTTACACATACGCTCTTCGACGCGCGAATCCGCTTTTATACAGGATAGAAGGTGCAAGTAAATGTAGAAATAGAAATAGAAATAATCTTTATTCAAATAAACTTAATATGAGCACTTTTGAATAGTCAAGTTTCTTTATTCTACCGCTTATTCGGAATGCAGATTCATTATCAAGAAGTATAAGCAAGAAACTTGTGTGTTGCTCTTTTAAATAAGTAGAGTTCCTATTCGTTCTACGATCGTGCGTGATTTAGCGGCTACCAAAATAGCGGACCTCAGACTTTACAGCAAGGAAATAATTATAGAGTTATTGATAATCCATAAATCTTAAACGGTGTCTTAAAAAAATAAAATCTGTAGAACAAAAAATAATACCTTAAAAGAAATTACATGAAACCTTATGTGCAATCACGCGCGAAAGAGTGAACCCAAAAACTAGTAAAATGCAATCACTCACGGTTGTGCGCGCTGAAGAAAGAATGTGTCGTGTAAATTATCAATAACTATATAATGATGCCCTTGCTCCATCATGAGCTGTCCGCCACTTTGCAATAATAATTATTAAGAAATAGGCACTAAGCACGCACGACTGAAAGACGCGGGAATGCGCTCACGGGCGTACCGCACCGTCTTTCTCATTTGTGATAGATTCACTCGTGAAAGAGCATACATATAAAGACAGATTAATAGCTGCCAACTAATTTCGGTATATAAAGCTATGAATTTCACTTGTATCTGTACTAAATAAAACCTTAAGACATGCATATAAGGTTTACAATAGTAATGATTTTTCTTATGTTAAAATGAATACAAAGACAAACCTGCGTGTATGTCTTCCCTGGTCAACATTATCTCCTGACTGGCTTCAGGTGATACTAGGATGACGCGGTGATGTCTGCTCTGAAGCATATTCGCGACTACCATCTAAAAGGTTGTGGGGGGAAAGAGATTATTAGTAATGTGAATAGAATTGAATAGAAAATCCTATAATTTTTCAAATAAACTTAATTTAAACAATTTCGAATAGTCATAACATTTTTTTTAATCTACCGCTCGTTCGGAAAGCTGTCTCATCACAAGAAGAACGAGCAAGAAACTTGCGTGTTGCTCTTTTAAATAATCCTTGTAAGTTTACATTTATAAGTCGAAACGTGTGAATACAAACCACCAACTAGCACTAATTTATTTGAGTCAAATATAAATACACAATAAAATTAAATCCGTCATAGTGATAAGAGTAGACCAGTCCCTACAAGAAGCATCTGTTCACGAGTATGACGGATGAGCCAGCCATCACTGCGCTCGACCATATTTTAGGGAGCCCAATGACCCGGCCCACCACGCCGCCACATGTCTGGACGTTTTAGTTAGCATGACTACTTATTCCACTCGACCATATTATAGCTACTTAAAATTACTATATGGTAGTTACAGTATTTGCACTTTACATAAGGATGCATGCGGCAATAAATACAGAAGCCGCTACGCTATCATATTTCAAGAAAGCAATATGAAAAAAGAAATTATAATGTGAACTTATTATTCCATCTATTTTGTTTGGGTTCTTTTGCGGATGATAAGATGATATGTAATATCAAAACAAAAAAACAAAACAAAACTTACAAGGATTATTTAAAAGAGCAACACACAAGTTTCTTGCTCGTTCTTCTTGTGATGAGACAGCTTTCCGAACGAGTGGTAGATAAAAAACAAATTGTTATGACTATTCAAAAGTGCTTAAATTAAGTTTATTTGAATAAATGATTTTCTATTCTATTCTATTCAAATAAATAATACGTTTGTTTGCAGAATAGAATTGCATTGCATAATTTTTTTTACAATTATGTCAATCTGTATTTGACACTAAACAATATATTAGAACCGTAATCGATGAGGAGGTCGTATATACATGTAACACCATCGCTAACAATGTACCAGGTTAACCTCCACGCGGTACCCCTGGAAACCATCACGATAAATTCCTGGTGAATGTCACGATGGGCCTGACCTGACCTCATGCTTATGCTATCATCCTGCACTGGTGCCCCGCCAGCGTAAACTTTTAGTGCAGGCAGGTGCACAATTTTATTATCATTCATTAAATCTGCCTCTCCGATCGATCCCCGTCCAATTCAAACGGGGATCGATATTACGACGGTCTGAGCCGAGGCTCGAATCACTAGCAGTGCCCTCAGACTAAAGTCGAATCCGTTAGGCGGAAGCTGGCCTTCAGCCGCTCCATAAGTCCTTCCGCGGGTTTGGAGTGCCATCTTCACTCGCCCCCTATTGTCCGGTGAAGCTGTAAAGGCCAGCTGCGGCCAAAAGCATTAGAGTAGTTCGAGGAAAAAAAAGAAAGAAAACATCTAAAACAATATATGTTATTATTATAATAATATATATTATTATTATTATTATTATATATATATTACTAACTGACAGGGCAAATGTAGTTTTGCTATTATATTTCTGGATTTTTATGACTAGGGATTAAGAAAATAACCAACAAAACTTTGATAAAGACAGTAAAATCGTGTGAACAAACTCAATGGTATGAGATTTTTATTTCTATGTATTTTATACTATTAAACAAAATTGAAGTTTCTGTTTGTAATGTTAAATTAACAGCTTATATGTATAAGAAAAGACTGTACTATTACAGTCTTTTCTTCTTAAATCATTCACTATTGGCACAGTGGTCGTGGCTTTTATGATGGTATCTCATCGTTGTGCTCGTTTGAGACAGTACAGTACTACAATAAAAAAAAAAAAAATTAAAAATGTTTCGTCTGTCTGTGCTTCCTATCCTTTGAAACGCTGGGCCGTTTTTGAACTTTATTCACAGATAGCTAATGTATAAAGGGTAAATAAGGGTTCCTTTATTTTAGAAATATATATATAAGTCGATACTATTTTATAAAGAAGGAAATCAATAATAACCTTGTGTTTGTATTTCTCGAGTGCTGCCCTCGCTTTGGGTATGAGCAGGCTGTCGTCGGTCTCCAGCTTGAAGGAGACGACGTACGCCGACGGGACCCAGAGGTTCACGAGCGGCGCCAACATCTTCGGCACCAGGTGCAGCTGGATGATCGGCGCACCGCTCTCTGACTGCATCTTATGTGTCGGCTGGATAATAATTAAATAAATAACTAACCCTGGTCAATTAACACAACGTTCTAGTCCCACGGTGAGCTTGTGTTACGGGTACTAGACAACTGATGTAAATACTTAAAGATTTTTTTGTAAACACATACATAATATACATACAAAACACTCAGATCGATTGAATATAAATGTTTGCAACGTGCGAGGAATCGAACCCGCGATTATTGGAAGTAAAACGATCTGCTAGACCACCCAGACCGTCACTGAAAGTACACTTTTTTTATATGACAATATATCAATAAAGTCATCTGACAACCATTTATAAAACGAGATATTCAATATGCTCTACAATAGGTTTTTTGAGCGTTTTAAACTTCTATTTATATACTCCGTTACAACAGAACTTACAGAAAATGTAGACAAACATTTTATATTTTGTTATACTATCTTCTTTGTTACACCACTTAAAAAAAAAATGTACCCACACAGTTAGCAATTCTATTCTATTCTATTAAAAAATATCGTATAACCACTCACTATATGGAAATAGTAACATAAAAATCTTGAGATATATTAGAGAAAGCGGGTACTTAAGACTACCCAGTCGTAAGTCCTTGGGTACGTGGAAGTCTGATTTGAGTCAGTGTAAGAACTCTGATCTAGTTACCGTTCTACAAACAATCTATTCTCCCTTCAGCAGGTATATTAAGGAAAATATGTACTTATAACTCGGTCCTTGGGTATGCAGAAGTCTGAGACTAACACAGCTATTTACGTTAGTGTAAGAACTCTGAACTAGTCAACATTCTCCAAACAATAGCTTCCTCCATGAGCAGATATATTAAAGAAAGCGCGTACTTACGACTCGGTCCTTGGGTATGCAGAAGTCTGAGACTAACACAGCTATTTACGTTAGTGTAAGAACTCTGAACTAGTCAACATTCTCCAAACAATAGCTTCCTCCATGAGCAGATATATTAAAGAAAGCGCGTACTTACGACTCGGTTCTTGGGTATGCAGAAGTCTGAGACTAACACAGCTATTTACGTTAGTGTAAGAACTCTGAACTAGTCAACATTCTCCAAACAATAGCTTCCTCCATGAGCAGATATATTAAAGAAAGCGCGTACTTACGACTCGGTCCTTGGGTATGCAGAAGTCTGAGACTAACACAGCTATTTAAGTTAGTGTAAGAACTCTGAACTAGTCAACATTCTCCAAACAATAGCTTCCTCCATGAGCAGATATATTAAAGAAAGCGCGTACTTACGACTCGGTTCTTGGGTATGCAGAAGTCTGAGACTAACACAGCTATTTACGTTAGTGTAAGAACTCTGAACTAGTCAACATTCTCCAAACAATAGCTTCCTCCATGAGCAGATATATTAAAGAAAGCGCGTACTTACGACTCGGTCCTTGGGTATGCAGAAGTCTGAGACTAACACAGCTATTTACGTTAGTGTAAGAACTCTGAACTAGTCAACATTCTCCAAACAATAGCTTCCTCCATGAGCAGATATATTAAAGAAAGCGCGTACTTACGACTCGGTCCTTGGGTATGCAGAAGTCTGAGACTAACACAGCTATTTACGTTAGTGTAAGAACTCTGAACTAGTCAACATTCTCCAAACAATAGCTTCCTCCATGAGCAGATATATTAAAGAAAGCGCGTACTTACGACTCGGTCCTTGGGTATGCAGAAGTCTGAGACTAACACAGCTATTTACGTTAGTGTAAGAACTCTGAACTAGTCAACATTCTCCAAACAATAGCTTCCTCCATGAGCAGATATATTAAAGAAAGCGCGTACTTACGACTCGGTCCTTGGGTATGCAGAAGTCTGAGACTTACACAGTGATTTAAGTGAGTGTAAGAATTCTAAACTTCGATAGTTATACTATAATTATTACTAGTTACCATTCTCCGAACAATCTCTTCCTGTTACTGTAAACATCACTAGTCCCCATCGAACAATCTTTCCCCAATCAGTAGATAGATTAGAAAAAGTGAGCGTACTTACAACTCAGTCCTAAGGTACACAGAAGTCTGAGGCTGACACAGCGTTTTAAGTTAGAGTCATAATTCCTCAAACAGTCTCTACCTCATAATCAGATATGTTAAAGAAAGTGCGGGTACTTACGACTCTGTCCTTGGGTATATAGAAGTCAGAGACAGCGGCGGCGAGGTAGAGCACGGCGCGCGGTCCGAGCCGAGCGAGGCACTCGCAGGCGGCGCGCAACAGCCAGAAGTACTCGGACACCGACGTGAACGCCACCTGCAGCACCGCGCCCGCCGCCAGCGCGGCCTTGTACCGCGCCAGCACCGGCGCCAGCACGTCCACGCTGTCCGGACGCACTGCACACGCATATAGACACACGCATTAGCTCTGCCCCCTCCGATCGATACCGCGTCCGATTCAAAAGGGATCGAAATTATGAAGGCCCGAGCGGTGCTCTCAGACTAAAGTCGTATCCGTCAGGCGGGAGATGGCCTTCAGAAGCTCCGTAAGTTCTTCCGCGTTTTTGGAGTGCCATCTGCACTCGCCCTCTATTGTCCGATAGAGCTGTAAAGGCCAGCTGCGACCAACAGCATTAGAATAGTCCGAAAATTGACTTTCCAAATTTTTTTAAATGTATTAACATAAGATGGAATAATTTATTTTATTTATTCATTTATTTCAGGCAACTAGGCCCATATTAAAAATACCATATAGACTAACATACATATAATATAATATTTAAAATCTAATACAATAATATTGTCTGTGTGATCACGGCACTGAAGACGGCAATCTGCCTCGGTTGCGCCGGTATACCACACCTTTCGGCCAGTAGTCCTCTTTCATGAAGGTGGGCAGCAAGTCGGTGGGGACCAGGGCCACAAACGCTTTGAAACTCGCGTTGTGACTCGGCTTCAGCTGCGTTACCCTCAATGTCAGGTTACTCTTTATACGGATATAATCGACAATGTCCTGCTCCTAAATAATGTACCCTGGGCTAACGCTAACGGTTTACGCTGGCAGGGCACCAGTGGAAGATGATAAGATGAACATGAGGTCAGGTCAGTTAGCCCATCTTGACAAATTCTCCAAGAATATGTCACTATGTGTTTCCAGAGGGAAACACATGGTGGTCAACCGGACATGGTACATTGCTAACAATGGGGCCTACAGTCCACATTACTAACAATCTCCTTCTCCTTTCTCTCCATATATTCGACACTAGTTCTGCTATCATTTCGTACACATGGAATAGTGGACCCTTTGATATGTATATATAGATGGACAGCCTCAATAGTCTAGTGGTTTAGCACACCGCCTTACTTCCTATGGTCGCGGGTTCGATTGATTGCACGATACAAATAAATGTATTCAAGAGTAGGACTGTATTGGCCTGGGTGTTTTTTTATGCATAATGTATATATTATACATAGAAAACACAATATATATATAAGTATTTACATCAGTTGTCTAGTACCCATAACATAACTTTGCTTAGCTTGGGACTACATGGAGCATTGTAAATTGTCCTGGGTTATTATTATTATTACTCACCAGTGATGGTAGTGTTAGGTCCTCGTTCTTGTATATCCAGCATGTCAAGCAATTTCTGGCCACTAAAGTGTCTTGTAAAGGGCTCCAGTGATTTTTGACGATGCATGAAGATCACCGCATAACCATGTTCCAAGAAATACTCGGCAGACGCGGAGCCTCGTGTGCCAGCGCTGAAGTTGTCTACAAAACGGACTGTGTTATGTTCTAGAGGAACCGTCGTGCCTCCAGACTGTAAAAGAGGAAAATTTTAAATTATAAATTTATTATCTATATTTATTATTATACTATCTGTGCACGCGGTCTCACCTGCGTCAAATATAGAGCCTATCGGTTATTCTGATGTATAAGCATATTATTTTAAAGTTTCGGTAAAATCTTTTCAGTATGTTTTGCGTGAGAGTAACAAACATTCATCCATACATCTATTCACTCTCAAAAACTTCCGCCTTTACAATATTAGATATATTCATTAAAAGAAATATTTCAATTCTTCCATCCATAGTCGTTTCATCACAATTTTACGTTATAATCTTTACATATGAAGTCGCTTCTGCGACTGTTTGTTTGCTTATATCTATTAATTTAATAGATATAAGCAAACAGACAGCAGAAGTGGCGCAACGGATTTTAATGCAGTTGTCAGCAATAGATAGATTGATTACAGAGGAAGGTTTATGTGTAATACATGCATGTTATAGTATCGAACAAACAGAGAATTTCATAGATTTGTAATGTATCCATGCGAAGTCGGGTCATTAGTCATACAAAAAAAGAAGACTCACAGTTACAAGTACTATTTTGTTTCCATATTTGTCATGGCGCTCGCAAAACTCTTTCAGCAGTGTGCGGTTGTCCTCAAAGTCTATTGGGGGTAGGTGGACCGCAAAGAACTCCTCCCAGGAACCACTGGCCATTATGGTTCTATAGTAATAATAATAATGTACAGATTTAGCAATAGAATTTTAAAAAACAACGGAAAGCACACATCATTCATATGGTACCAATAGTCAGCATAGGAATTATACCAAGATGTCTTAGCAAACACCTAGACACATTGGAAATTCCTCTACAATAGAACTATTACAAAAAGCCGTCTTTCTTAACACATGCCATATTGTAAGGAAATGTCTTTCATCATAATCATATAAGTTTTTAATAACATCCACGCTTGGTTCAGGCCCATGTGTTTGAACCTATTACCCTCGTAAAAAGGGAGATATATAAAATGTATATGAAATAATAACAATAAATAATATATTTATTAGTTAACTTATAATTCTATACAATTACTTAATGGATTTATATATTTTTTTACATCCTGACAATTCACACCACATCATCTAGTCTCAAGGTAAAAAGAGCTTGTATTATGAGCTTGTGTTATGATTACTAGACAACTGATATAAATGCTTCGATTTTTTTTATAAATTGTAAATAATATACATAGAAAATATCCAGATTCATACAAACAATCAGTCATGAATACAAATGTTTGTACCCTGCGAGAAATCAATCACGCAATATTCAGAAGAAAAGTGGTGAGCTTTACTGTTAGGCCACTTATCCCAATAATCTATTATTGTTTTGTTTAATTCCACTACCATCCATATTTTTTTTGATGTATGATAATGAAATGGTGTATCCGCTTGCACTAACAGTCTATGCTGGCGGGGCACCAGTGGAGGATGATAAAATGAGTATGAGGTTAGGTCAGTTAGCCCATTGTGACAAATTCACCAGGAATTTATCATGATGATTTCCAGGGGGAAACGTCATATATCATACATATACCATCATACCTTTACCATCCATATTCATCATAGTCATTATCATCAACTCTATTCATTGCCTGATCATGCCTTGAGAAGAGTTGAAACATATGTTGCAATATATTTGGAATATAATCACTAATGGGGAAAGTAACACTTTCAGTAGCGGTGGTCAGGTTATCGCACAGAACATTTGTGATCTCACACATCCTAATGGTAGTGGAATTAAACAAAAAAATACAATTCCATCAAGTAATTAATTACTTAACTTTGAAGCCTCTTTAAACAAAATAATACAAATTGATGAAGTAATGAAATGGATTTCTGCAAAATAACACTTAATTCGATAAAATAGAATATATAGAAATTATAAAACATTTATTTAGCATAAATCTATTTGAAAGTAATGTGATTTGGAATTCTTTTTAAAAATATTTTGAAAAACATGTTGAGGTTTTATAAAAATAGTATACAGACATTTTAGTTTAGGAGGATGTGTGTCATAACAATTTTGATATTAAATATTAAGGCAAGTATAGTCATATTTTGAGTTACTTGTGTAGTCTATCTTATCTTTGTTTATTGCACATAGAAATCAATAATAAATAAAAAACAACAATCAAATAGATATCTATTAGCAATAAAAATAATTCTGAATAATTTTCTATAATAAATATAAATGATAATGTGATAAGTTTCTAAAGCTGATTGTGAACTAAATCAAATATAATATTATGAATTATATTTTTCTATACTTGAGAATCACACTAATCCAATTTTTTTTAAAAAGAATAGTGCTTATTGAAAACTTAATGGACACAAATATTATTATATGAAATATTTAATAAACTAGTGAAGTAATATGATTTAGAAATAAAATCAACTGACCTTCTGACCAAGTGACCACTTGTTGAATGACCCTACTTAACCTCTATTATAAAACTATTCATAGTAAATACAACATAAATAACTGTATAATAATTTGATTTAATATTTACCCAAGTATATACAACCTTTAATTTCAGGAATTAAAAGAAAATTAACACCTTCGAAAAATATATATTATAATCACTGCACTTTTAAGAAACCGGCAGTAATAACTTTGCGACACTCATGGCACATATAAACGGTTGATATATACTGAGAATAAAGCCTAATGAATGAGGCAGGACCAATATTTACTGGCCTATTTTATAGAAAAATCAATGCGCGTACAGAAGTATAGCAAATTGGTGTTTAAGTTAGGGCAATAGGAGATTTATTTGTGTAGCATTACCTTAAAAATTAGTGAAGGCTGTCCTTGCACGTTGACCGAAAGGTACAAAGCTCGAAAATAGTGTTTATTTTAAAAGATTCACTATTCAAACATATTCAAGTAGTAATCAGAACTGTTATCACCAAGTTTTGATAACTGACTGACTGCTGATTGAACTGATGATGAAATGATCGGTAAATGGGAAAATATATAAGCATACAAGGGGATTGACACTGACAGTGACATAAAACTAAACGTTCCGTTTCTGGAATAAAAAATAAATTTAATTCTTTCAAGTTTTTCAATATTTTTATTACCAAAGAAAAGGAAAATTCTCACGAAATTAGTAATCTCTTTACGTTTAAGATCGAATTATATAGATCAGTCAATTGTAAAATTTGATAATTCAATACATTGTCTGCATAAAATGAAACTAACAAAACATGGTAGAAACAACCTCATGTCATGTACAGATTTTAAACATCATCGACTATGAAAAATAACAATCTTACAGGCAATATGGGGACTCCCCTAATAGTATTCTTGAACATCAGACCATCCAAATCCTACATCATGATTAAAAATAAACCTTACGGTATATAACTGCAATTTCAAAATTATTTCATCATGCCGTGTTTTTATTACGTTTCATTTAATTCCATACTGTATCGAATATTACATAGTAACTGCGCTAAAAAGATTAAATGCTACTGTACTATTGTTTCTTAACTCAAAAATAGAAGTATCCACAATACTTGTTTTATGAATAACTAGTTGAGCCGCGGAACTTCATTAGCTCTCCATCAACATTGATGCTCCGCTCCTATTGGACATAGAGTGATGTTATACTAGTATAATAACAATAGGTGACCTAGGATAATTCCACATCTAATCACAAACTAAACAGAATTACTAGTTACTATAAGTTGGGAGGTACTAAAGATCTAATAGAAATACTTAAATATTCATATATTATGTTGTAAATAAATATAATACTTAGAAAATATAAACAATTACACACACGAAAATAAGTATTGACTTTGTGCGAGAATCGAACCCTTGACCTTACAAAATGACGCTCAATATTCGACTGCTTTCAAAATGGAATGGAAGTAAATCAATAACTGCGTAAAATTAACTATAGATTTTTATTATCATTTTTGCTTTCAATTTCTTCGTTGAGTTGCTTCAGATGTTGTTGCGTCACTAATCTGTCGTTCGGCAGGAATGATGCAACCACCGCCGATACTGAAATCAGAAAGTATTTTCAGCCGATATATTAAGTATATAATGCAGTGACTAACAATTCTCGATTGTAAAACATTAAAATCGATAGAATCTCGATTACACATTTCTGGGAACTATTCTAATGCTTATCGCAGTTAAACTTTATAGTTGTACGGGACAAAAATGGAGAATGAATGTTTGAAGATGAATTAAGTTTATTTTTTTGTAAGAATAATAATGAAATGGTGTCTTTCATCCTATCATCATGCACCTTGGTGCCTTGCAGCGTAAACCGTTAGTGCAGACGGGTGCACCATTCCATTATTGTCCATTAAAAAGAGACGACATTGTACAAAGTGTACTCTAATGAAAATTATACTTACAAGTGAATATAGAGGCGTATACGTAGAAACCAACTTCACAATTATTTACGAGAAGAAAGTTGAGAATCTGGATCGAGGCGAAGCTTCCTATTCGACCTCCCGTCATGGTCAGGGAAACTGCTAGGGCTCTGAAAAGAACAAACATATATATTAATTGTAATATTATAAGACTTACATTTCAACTAAACTTAACCTAACTTAAGGAATAGTATTTAAACCATTTCGGTAGGATGTCATTATTATTATTATTGAATAATAATAATGACATCCTACTGAAATACTATTCCTTAAGTTAGGTTAAGTTTAGTTGAAATGTAAGTCTTATAAGTAATGCTAATGTTAGTTTTTAAGTAACCTGCCCTAGGAGACTTATAATTCAGCTACCCGAGGATTGTTTCCCCCGGAGTTGATGGTAATGGTATGGTAAAGGTAAATCAATATAAATTAGTTTACTTCGGTAAAATAATCGATACTGTTATTGCAATGTTTTAAAAAAAACTTTGAAACTTTAAAGATTACATTCTATTTTTCTATACTTAACCCTGTGTTTATTATTAAACACGTGATAAAACCTATGGGGTATAATTCAGAAGAAAGAAGAAAAAGGCTCAGAAGAGCATCCATACCAGTAACCAATAAAGACAATGTAAAAAAGCCGCGTATTTAAGTTACCATGTCAAATTTAAGATCACATGTTCTCTGTAATTGACAGGAGCGACTGTTAATTGAGGAACTCTTAAATATATATTTTCCACTCCTTTTCAGTTTCATAGGAGCTGAAATAAATTGGAAAACAGCCTAAAGAAAATGAAAAATGTTTAGTTGTCCCCGAACAGGCACCCGTCGATAAGATTACCGAGGCAAAGAGTTACCTAAGTCTCCACTGCCTCAATTGGGGTTGATACCAGGTTCTTACTTCTACTCTCAATTGGGGTTGAAGACAGGTTCTTACGTCTACCCTCAATTGTGGTTGAAGACAGATTCTTACTTCTACCTTCAATTGGGGTTGAAGACAGGTTCTTACGTCTACCCTCAATTGGGGGTAAAGAGAGGTTTTTACGTCTACCCTCAATTGGGTAAGACAGGTTCTTACGTCAACCCTCAATTCGGGGTCAAGACAGGTTCTTACCTGAATTGGGGGTGAAGACAGGTTTTTACTTCTACCCTTAATTGAGAATGAAGTGATCTCCGCATCATCATACCTGAGGTTTGTTGGAAAGAGTGCAACACTTATAGCTGTATACAGCCCCAGCAGCATCATAGCCATTAAGTAGATTCCGAACAGCACAAGACTGACAATGGCGTTCGGCACCATGTTGATGAGGATACCACAGATCCCGCAGAATCCAGCTATCGCCATTACAGTGTTGCGACGACCAGTGTAAATGACGACCTGCCGATATTTAAATAATAAACAAAGTTTTATATATCTGGAATGGGAAACAGGCAAGCAAACAAGGCAATGCTTGTACATATATGATATAAATGAAATTGGAGTCTGTTTTGTAATATTGAAATAACCGTTTTTTACTACATGCATATGAATATAAATACGGTACATACACAAAAATAACATTTTTGCAATTTTTGTCTTACTGTCTGTCTGTTCCGGCTGATCTCTGAAATGGCTGTCCCGATTTTGACGGGACCTTTATTGGCAGCTGATGTGATAAGGAGTAACTTAGGCTACTTTTAGGATTTTTTACGTGTACAGCTATTAATAATAATAATAATCTCAGGACAATTCACAGCGCCATCTACACCCAAGTTAAGCTAAAGCTTGTGTTATGGGTGATAGATGACTGATACAAATACATGATTTTTTTTGTGTAAATTGTCCTGAGATTATTATTATTATTGACAATAGAACCTCAATAATTTCAAAGTTATAATTAAAATTAATTCTGATCGAATTATGACTATTGGGCGACTACTATCTATAAGAATAACACCATAGACATGTTATCAAGTGACGCTCTTTATAACGCAATTCCATTCCGGAAGATGAAAGATGTCATGCCTATATTTTTTATATATTATTCTATTTCTATAGAGCAACACACATGTTTCTTGCTTATTCGTCTTGTGATGAATATGCATTCCGAATAAACAGTAGAATAAAAAAAAATGACTATTCAAAAGTGCTTATATTAAGTTTATTTGAATAAAGATTATTTCTATATCTATTTCTATAGGTTAGAGAGCAAACTATTTAGTGACTAAAATAGATATAGATTAGGGTAAACGGTAAGGGTATTCTTGTATATTCAATATTTTTTCTATTTGAGTATTTAATTGAATTAGTGCTAATTGGTAGTTTGTATTCACACACTTAAACTTAAAAATGTAAAGTAAGAATAAAATTATTTAAAAGAGCAGCACGTAAGTTTCTTGCTCGTTCTTCTTGTGATGAGACAGCTTTCCGAATGAGCGGTAGATTAAAAAAAATGAGATAACTATTCAAAAGTGCTTCAATGTAAGTATATTTGAATAAATTATTTTCTATTCTATTCTATTCTTGAGGACTAAAATTATGTTTTTGTAACCTGTCATTTCACCTCCATGTCCATACATCATACCGACCGAAACATAGGTTACAAAGGACGCAGCTTGGCCGTAACGAGAGAGGGAATTATTAGTAATGTGGACTGATGACCTCAATGCTAATAATGTACCATGTCAGGTTGACCTCCACGCGGTTCATCCTGGAAACTATCGTGACAAATTTCTAATGAATTTGGGCTAACTGACCTGGTCTAATGCTCATCTTATCATCCTCCACTGGTGCTCCGCCAGCGTAAACCATTAGTACAAGCGGGATCACCATTCCATTATCAGCCATTAAAAAAAAACAGATGAGATAGAGCTACCCATGTAGACTTTATACAGTTTACTTTATTGTAAATTTTATATAAGTTCATGCATCTACTTACCACACTGATCAGTAAATTAACAACTGATTGCAATGCTCCGACGCTCAGTACTATGGTCAGGGCTGTAGTGTCCAAAGCACATGGTACAGCATCAGGCTGAAATTAGCAAATGTAAATTATAATTATTAGTTTTAATATACATATATCCACCACAGTGTCTTGTATTCCATTTGATTTAAACTCTACTTTCTCGCTTACACAGTTGTATTCTAAAAAAAGTATTTCAAACAGAACTTAGGACATAAATGTTGATTTTAAATAATATTCTTTTTTTTCTACATTAGTTGTAACCAGAAGCGATGGCCGCGTGCGATAAACCATACGAGTATATTAAGCACTGGTTGTTTGGCTGAAAGGAAATTTCCAGGGCCGTGAAAATAGTTAATAAAAAAAAATAAGCACTGATGGAGTTAAGTTGTCTATAAGTGAAAGAATTAACCTCTTTATTAATTATTTAAACGAGTTTTAACACGTATAATTTTATGATAATAAAAGGTATACTTCTCTTGTATATACCTCGTGTCCACGGCTAGTGTAAGTGTTTACACTAGGCGTGGTCACGAGATGACTTGATGAGTCAGTCATAAAATTATTCGTGTTAAAACTCATTTTAATAATGTGTTCTAAATGCGAAAGTTAAAATAATCTCTTGCCAAAAAAAGAACTAGTAGTTTAGTAGTTACACATAACACAATTTCTACTTAGCTTGGAACTAGATTACGTTGTGTGAATTGTCCAGGGATATTAATTTTAATATTTACACACAGAATAATAAAACTGTAATGTAAAAATCCTTCTTTATCAATTGATAACTAATACAGTTTTGCTTTTCCAATAGCATATTCTAATGGTAAATCTATTCTCTCAATTTGAATTTAATAAAGAATTTGTATTATTTGAATCATGTACAACGTTTGTTTGATCTTTTCAAATAAATGTTACGAGCTGAGTTTCTTGTCAGTTCTTCTCATCTCGAAATCATTCCGAACTAACGGTAGATTTGACATATCATAAGTCTGTAATAGACCTACATGAATAAAGATATTTTGAATTTGAATGACTGAGAAATGAATATAGAAATAAACTATTTACGTCTTCAGGTATATCAATATCTGCGTTATATATACCGCACAGAGTCAAATCAGATCCTTCTCCAGTTTGCAACAAGCTGACGTACTTATTTGCTATTGTTGGCAGCCAAACACCGAATGCTGTTATTCTGCAATTAAACATCATATAATTAAACATTCTGTAGTAAATAAAAAATATACAAACTAGTACTGTACCCGCGATCACCCGCGTGAAATTTTCACCCTGTTATTCTGATGTACTCGTATATTACTGTTAAGTTTCATCAAAATACGTTTTAGTTGTTTTGCGTGAAAGAATAACAAACATCCATGCATACTCACAAACTTTCGCATTTATAATATTAGTAAGATAAATAAATTTGAGTGTCGGTTTGTAAATTAAAATTAACAGCTTAAATTTAAATGCATTTAAAGGACTTGCGGTACCTACACCAAAAAAATATTTAAAAAAAATTGTCTGTCTGTCTGTTCTTGCTAATCTCTGTAACTTTCATTCGCAGATAGATATTGTAAGGAATACTTTTATTAAAAAAAAATTCAAAATGTGTCTTCGCCGATTTCACGAGAGGCAGAACAACAAACAGACTATTTTGTACAAGATACATTGAAAACAAACAAGATACGTACATTACAAAGATACACTGGTATTTTTCGATATATGTATAGCTTATTTTTTTTATCATAAAAATCATCTTACTGGTGAAATATTGAGAGGGTTGCCATAATCGCCGTATATTTCACGAGAGGCCGCTTGAAAAGTGGTGCTATTTTCTTCTTAACTGAAGTCTTCTCTTGTGATGATTCTTTTTCCAGCCCATTGACCTGAAATGTTATGATATCCACAGTTAAATAAAATTCAATAGTTATAGAGAATTAAAACGACATCCGGGCGGCACCGATAGGAATGGAGGAAGGTCATAACGCTTCTAGTAGCATTGGTCAGATTTCCAGACTGAATATTTGTGGTCTCACACATGCTAATGGTAGTGAAATAAAACAAAATGATACAAATCCATTAGACAATGCATTAATTAACCTTGACGCCATTTTAACTTACCTGAAGTTGTTTATTTGAGTTATGATATCCACAGTTATATAAAATTCAATAGTTATAGATACTCTCGATATAGTAAAGTGAGTGTATAGAATTAAAACGACACCCGGGCGGCACCGATAGGAATGGAGGAAGGTCATAACGCTTCTAGTAGCATTGGTCAGATTTCCAGACTAAATATTTGTGGTCTCACACATGCTAATGGTAGTGAAATAAAACAAAATGATACAAATCCATTAGACAATGCATTAATTAACCTTGACGCCATTTTAACTTACCTGAAGTTGTTTATTTGAGTTTCTATTATTCATTCTATGAATACTTCTTAATATTCGCAATGTTTCTTCCTCGTCACCTTTTGCTAAAGTGTATTTAGGACTCTCCTGCATAAACATTAGCCACACGGCACAGATGAGGCTGGGTATGCAGTACACTAACATGAGAGTACGCCAGGAGTTCCAGTATATCCCCAGTCCTGATAGATAGTATGAGAACGATAGAGGAATCACCGGCATCGCCAGAGCTGAAATGGTATTAATTGTGGAAGTTATCAACATGACTATTTTTATGTATCGACTTGATGTCCATGTAATTATTTGATCAGAATTGCTGATGGTAAACGATACAGAAGATGTCCGCGTACCACCTGGGTATGATATACATCATCATGGATAGCCATTTATTATTATTTTCTCTCTAGTTTTAAAGCTGATAATTACTACCGAGAACGGATCGTACCAAGTCTCTCGTTATCTTATTTTGCGTGTGGTGATTTTTAATTTCTTTCGTTATTCTTATTATGGAGGACGAGTTTAACATCTGAGATGATGCAAAACTGCCAAGAATGGCGTAAACGTATAAGGCGGACTGACCCAAAATAAGGACATAACGAGGAGAATGATGAAAACTTTCTTTCTTTTATAGAGGTAGGCTTTAGGCATTAATTCATCTGCCAAGCAACTTGCTTTATAAACTGTGGTGTTTTTGTGGATGGTGATTTTACCAGGAATTAACCAACTGCTTCCAGGATGACCGCATATGGGCGTCACATGGTTACAAAATTTCCACAGGTTGTATGTACGCTTGAAGCCAAGTTATTTGTCATTACAGTTACCAAAAAAACTTTCCATACGGTAGACTTTAAGTGTGTAGAAATTAGAAAATAATAACCTTTATGTACAAACAAACAATCCATTAGGCTATGTGGTTATTTTGTTGTTATCATTACCTGCCATGATTCCTTGTGCCAGCAGAAATATACTAGTAACCAAGAGCAGCACGATATTCCGCTTGGCCATTGGCACGCTTTCGCTGAGAATCGTCATTGATATTGTGTACTGGCCAGACGACCTGGAATATTGCAAATACTATATTGATCTTCACATCTGTTGTGGGATACCACATGGCATAGTCTGAGGCAATGATATATCCGACGCCAACAGTTGACGTTGCTACATGTGCGAAAATTTTGTGGAGTATATTTGTATCGCTTGTAAACTATCTCTCATTTAAAAAATGGCCTATTATCGGTGTAAAATAGAAGTTACAAGAAATACGCGTATGACCGAAATCTGATGTTTTTTTGTCGGATGATAATGGAATGGTGCACCCGCCTGCACTAACGATTTACGCTGGGTACCAGTGGAAGATGATAAGATGAATATGAGGAGCCCATCGTGACAAATTCGCCAGGAATTTATCACGATGGTTTCCGGGGGGAACCGCGTGGAGGCCGACCTAACATGGTACATTCCTAGTAATGGGTCATTAAACCCCATTGCTAACAATCCCCTCCCCCCCCACACCCGATGTTTTTTTTTTAGTGTATGATAGTGGAATGGTGCACCCGCCTGCACTAACGATTTACGCTGGGTACCAGTGGAAGATGATAAGATGAATATGAGGTCAGGTCAGTTAGCCCACCGTGACAAATTCGCCAAGAATTTATCACGATGGTTTCCGGGGGGAACCGCGTGGAGGCCGACCTAACATGGTACATTCCTAGTAATGGGTCATTAAACCCCATTGCTAACAATCCCCTCCCCCCCACACCTGATGTTGAGATGATGCGGTCTATGCTGTTACACGTATGCTTAGTAGTGCCTATTCTGTCTTGATTTGAAAGTCCCAATATTGTGCAGGACACACTGTCTCTGCGATAGAGTTAAACTCCTGAGTCTTCATTTTTAATTCAATGCTTAAAAATTGTATAGCAACTGCATATTAGAAGGGCAATGGTGTCTGAGATACAGGCTAGGCTTAGTTTAGACGCTATTGCACTGGACTTGATGTTAAATAGTTTAAGAACTGCTTTTTTTTTTATACTACTATGGTGGCAAACAAGCATACGGCTCATCTGATGGTAAATCGTTACCGTAGCCTATGGACGCCTGAAACACCAGGGGTGTTACGTGAACAATTCCTCAGAACACAGTCCGTTGTATATTCGGTAGAACATACAAAGCGAAACGAAATCTCGCCTCAAACTTAAATACTTGTATATACTACTGGGCATAGAAACTTAGTTTAGTCTATTTTTGTAACTGTTTTTTGCACAATAAACTTATTTTTATTATTTAAAACTGCGGCGGCAAAAATGTTCCACGGCGCTGAAAAAAATTACTCATAATGTAAATTTGCGTGTGTGAAGTAATTTTTTTAAAATGGTCCTAATTTAAGATGTACTCATTGTTTTTATTAATCTATACATATAAATAAAATTGGAGTGTCTGTTTGTAACATTGAAATAACCGTTTTTTACTACATGCATATGAATATAGATACGGTACATACACCAAATTAACATTTTTTACAATTTTTGTCTGTCTGTCTGTCGGTCTGTTTGTTCCGGCTAATTTCTGAAATGGCTGGACCGATTTTGACGGAACTTTTTTGTTAGGTACCTGATGTAATAAGGTGATTAAATTCCACGCGAACGAAGTCGCGTAAACAGCTTGTTATAAATAAAAAACTTATTACGCCGACTCCAAATAAATAGGTTAGGAAGAAGTAGATGTTAAATAAACATATAAGAAATCAAACCTTTTCTCTATACAATAGTATAGATTAAATAAATGTATGAATAAAACATTATGAGAATGTTATCTGTATAATTAATTAATTATCGATGCTTAACTGACTAAGCGGAAATGGTGAATCCGCTCTTACGTGTTAAGTAGTCCTTCATTTTCGATTCAATAGACATTTGACAGCATATTCTGATGATAATGTTAAGTATAATTGATTATCATAATTTATATTCATTATATTTATCTATAATTTATTTATACAGTTCAGACAAGTATGAACATATATAACTTGATCTTATAATAAAGTAGTCTGATAACACTTTATTACATGGAGCTTATTTACTTGATGGAGTTGTTAATAATTCTCATTTAGAAGCGATTAATATCTACTATTTTGTAATTATAAGTACCTACCTACTTAAGTATCAACCAGCAGCTATATAGCATACTAGTAACCCGTCATAGCTTTGCACGGGCCCCAAATATGTTTAACTTTTTAACTGTTCAAAAAAGTATTTATTTAGATAAGGATTAATATCATTATTATCGAAGGTATTTTTGTAAAGCAATAACTTTCACAAACAATGCATTGTTATAGAAAAAAATTGATCACCTTAAAAACAATACAACAACCCCCTTCAAATGATTTTATTTGGACCAACAGAATAGTTTGGAAAAATTTCATGCCAATTTTTTAGGGTAATAGTATTTGCTATTGTATGTTTATTAATCACAACTATTATAACCCATATAATTTTTGCAATAATGTAGTGTGTTTAAGCCTTTGATTTAAGCTAATATATTTAAGGGCACAATATAATAGTACCAAAATGTGAACTAGATGTCGCTGTGTCAAATATGTAGAATTTCTACATCGCGGTGGCAAGATCTTTTTGTATTATGTCTTAAGACATAGTGCCTTTTGTAATCAGAGAGAGAGAAGAATATATTCTTACCACGGAATATAAACATATATAGTACTATGCTTGAGGTCTAAGATCTAGTATAGTTCAGGTCATTAGTACAGCACTAAATGAGTGGGTTAATCTTAGATAGACATATGTTGTAGCAGACTTTATTTTGCAACTTCATTTGGCTGAAGTAAGTAAGACGTACACACCTTAGTTAGTAGTACTTCAGCCGCTAAGCAACTTGCTTTTTGTAAGATGAGTTTTGGTTATAGATAGATTTTATATTCGAATTATATTCGGATATTATATTATACTAGCTGTCCCGGCAATCGTTGTTTTGCCATATAAGTTAATAACGCTATAAAAAATAGGGGTTGGTGAAAGAAGCGTGAAAATTTAGGGTTGTATGTATTTATTAATGACACAATAACAAATATAAATAAAAAATTTTGCGCAAAACATAAAAACATAATTTTAACCCTTATCACTTAGGGGTATGAAAAATAGATAATAGCCGATTCTAAGACATAAAATTTCATAAAAATTGATCAAGCCGTTTGGGAGGAGTATGGTAACTAACATTGTGACACGAGAATTTTTTATATAAAATTATATTCGGTTATAGATAGATATTAGATAAAACAATTAATTTACAGTATAAGAGGCATGACATCTTAATCCACAGAAATGGCAAAGTCTGAGTGATATCAAGGCGCTTCGTAATGCGAACATGAATATAAATATTGATACTGTGCCAGAAATCAAACCCGCTAACATTGAAACTAAAGCGGTGTACTAAACCGCTAGACCAACGACCCTTCAAACTGATACATAATTATTATATCTATATAACTAGCTACCCACCCCGGCTTCGCAGGGGTGTACATGTATTATACGTATAAACCTTCCTCTTGAATCACTCTATCTATTCAAATAAACCGTTGCGTAGTTTTAAAGATTTAAGCATACATAGGAACAGACAGACAGCGACAGCGAATTTGTTATGTACTGTGTAATGATAATGATTTACTTACGACAAAGAGGCAATAAACTGCAGTATTAGCAACATAATCCAGTTGACTGATAAGCTGGCTATTGCATTTATGATGGTGCCGCCGAGGAGTGACACCAGCAACATAGAACGACGGCCGCGCGTGTCTGCCAGGTAGCCCCATAAGATGGCCCCTATTATTGTACCTAGAAAAATATATTTATTGAGTAAAGTTTCTTGGACGAGACTGGCCAAAGACAGAGAAAGTGGGAAAGGTTGGAAGAGACCTATATCCTTAATACAGAGTTTCATTAATTCTTTACAAAATCTGAGGACCCATTTGATGAAAAATAGCAAATGTCGACTACATACGGACCTTGTCAGGTTACTCCTGGTCCGTATGCAGTTGACATTTGCTATGTATTATGTATTATGTGTCAGGTGTGGCAATGTCAGGGTGAGGCAGCTGGAATCGAGTCATAACGCAAGTTTCAAGGCATTTGTGGCCCGTGTTCCCACGAACATGCTGCCCACCTTCATGAAGAAGGACTACTGGCGGGTGTGGTGTGTCGGCGCTACCGTGGCAGATTACCGTCTTCAGTGCTGTGACCACACAGGCAATTTATATATCTTTTCTTATAATTATATTATTAATATGTAGGTTGTTCTATTATATCTGTAAGCTATTTATAATATGGGCCATTAGCTCCCTGAATGATATTAGAATTAACATAGGATACTATTTATTAAAAAAAAAATAAGAAATATTTTTGATTCAAAGCGAGCGAAGCCGTGGATAAAAGGTAGTAAATATATGAATTTAGTTGATTACTAGTCACCTGATGTCTAATATACGTAACACTAAATATCAGAACAATATCGTCATCAGCCCAGGAATCATTGTTATCAGTCAGCCAAACGGTACGCCAGATTGATAATCATCGAATTAGCAATGATATCATTGTAAGTAATTGAAATAATTTATTTTTGTTACTGACTAAGAAAGACATAGCAAAATAGGACAAAATGTTTTTTACAAGCAATTAATCATATTGTACGATTAATACGAGACCACAGCATATGGTTTTTCAAGAAGTGTTCAGAGTTTAAGGTCATATTATTAGTGAGTTTAAGGTGAAATTCGGATCGTTATTGAGTCTACAACCATATTGCAACATGTATTTACATACTAGAACGACTACCTAGACCCGTCAGGGACAAGAATTGAAGGAACTATGTTTTTTTATCTCTTCAGAATCGAGTGTATACTTACCAAAGGAAATATTTAGTTTATGCATACTGACCAATTATAGGTGCCGAAGCCAGCAGGCCCTGTTGAACGCCCGTGGTCTCCAGCTCGCAGGCGCTGGATGGCACAATGATGGTGCTACTGAACACTATACATGCGAAGGAGATGATGACCAGCCCCGTGAGGGCCGTGAGGATGTAGCTGTACAAACCAAAACCTGAATAGAACACAAAGAAAAGTTTTTTTTAATAAAAAGTTATAACGTTAAATAGTGATTCGCTTCGACTTTATACTAGAGATTTACACTTAAATTATGTAAGTGGGATGGGATTATTAGTAATAGGTAATAATAAACATATTGCAAACAATTTACTGGTTGAGTCGACCTCCACGTGGTTCTCTTCCTTTGGAAATCATTGTGGTAAATTCGTGGATTCGTCACGATAGGCTAACTGGCCTAACTTCATGCTCATTTTATTATTCTTTACTGGTGCCCCGCCAGCACCAATGGTATAGCAGTTGCGGGTGTACCAATCCACTAACATCCATTAAAAAGAAAAAAAAAATATTAGTTCGGATACAATTATAGGAGTATCTAATTTTTTTAATAAATACAACACATGTACTACTAATATAGGTTTCTATATGTTCATTATGAACTGATTTTGACGATTATATTTACTATGATACTATTACAATTTTATGTGCCTATCTTCAGACCCGATCTTGAAGTAGGCTAGGCAGATAGAAAGGAGAACCGAGTCCTCAAACTTTACGGTTGTGGAAACTAATGTTTCTATCCTTACACACAGTAAAAAAAAAATAATTGATTTGGTAACTTTATCAGACAGTGGGAGCGAAGGAAATGTGTTATTATTATTATGGTAAATATAACTACGGAAATATGGAAATACAGAAATATGGAAATATATTTAAGCAATAAATAGTGTATTTAAATGTTCAGAAAGAATAGCATATAAAAAAGAATGACAGAATACAATATTACATATAACATAAACAATATATAAGAAAAATATCTCTTCTTTATTCGCTATGGAATCCTATATTACAGAAATGATTTTGATGACAGTTTATATATGTGCACGGTAGGCCTGAGAATAGGCCGTTATCTATTTTTATAACCAATATTATAAGAGCCACCGTAAACAAATCTATATTTTTGACACAATCTTTTTTTTTAATTTCGGCATTAAAAATACACATATAACCATAAATTTTCACCCTTCTACCATCAACCCTTATTTAATAGCGATATCAATTTATATGGGTAAATAACATTTGCCAGGACAGCTAGTGTACATAGAAAAAGAGGCGTCGTGTACAGGCAGTATACGATATGTTTGGTCATGATGGATCAGAGTCTTCCCAAGTACCTCCATCCTTTCAATAGCCTTCACATGTAACTGCATCCTATGGCACTGTCCGCCTGGAATAAACCCTATGTCACTCAATAATATACCTATCTATAAATGAAATAGGTTTCAAAATCGGCTAAGTTATTTTTGAGTTTATCCTTTAGAAATGAATCTTGTACTTTATAACATTACTTACATAGATTAACATGGTAAATGCAATATAAGGAAATTATGAAACCTTACCTGTTCTATCAATCGCGACCTCAAAAGGCACTCTCTCATTATCCACATTTTCCGAAGTCATAACTAACATGTACTTAATTTTATATATCAATAAATAACTTATATTTTAATGAGTTTATACACTTAACATAATAAAATATTGCTTTTTATATTGCACATGTTTATAAACATAATTAGAATACACGACCGATGTTAATCACTGTTTTTTGTGGTCTGAACAAAAACGGATATAGTGTTTAATACGATTATGATATTTGTATCAGTATTTATGTACAATGATTGCTATATTACATACATACAAATGCCTACCATAACTGATACGGCAGTGAAGTTACAGGGTAAGAGGCAATAACATCTTAGTACTCAGGATCATTAGTCTTACGCGTGACTATAGGTTAACATTGTAATTAGGAACATTGTAACTATTAGGAACATCGATCGTGGAATAAAAACTAATCCATCACATTTAAAATTAGTATTCTTTTTGCTAAGTAACAGTTATGTTTTACTTGCGACTGATGAAATGAAGAATAAATTGTATTTATTCATCATGACTAGGGCCCTCACTGGACACTGCAAGCTGAATAAACACATGGCGAAATTAGGTTTTAGCTTAACATCAATCTGCAGATTTTGTAAGTTGAAGAGGAAACGCTACTACACATCTTATGTGTTTATCTATGTTATTAACAATTCTCTATTGCAATAGATTAAAATTGGCGGGTTTACGATTTTCTATGTGGATCCGTTATGTAATAAATCTGCTGATTCTTGTCAAGCTCAACAGGAAACACCACTATATCGTTGTAGCCCACTCATGCATAAACTAAATATCTCCTTTGGAAAGTATACTCTATCCTGAGGAGGTAAAAACCATCGGTCCTAAGAATATCTTTAAATTCTTGTCCCTGACGGGTTTAGGTAGCTAATTTTGAATAAGGGTAAGCACTATAGATCTATACAGGTCGCAGTGTTTCTTCTTTACTTATGGGGCTATAGTCAGGTGCTAAGACACCTGACTATAGCCCCATAAGTAAAGATACATACTGAATATCTCCATCAGTAACAATATACATACGAGTATTCCATAGTATATGCATAATAATAATCCATGTAGATGCATAAGAGATTACCACTATCCGTCTGTATATATATTACTAGCTGTACCCGCGACTTCGTCCGCGTGGTTATTTATCTTTATTTTCTAAAACAAAAGTAGCCTAAGTTACTCTATATTACATTAGCTTGCTGCCAAAAAAAATCCCGTTATAATCGGTCCAGCCGTTTAAGAGATTAGCCGGAACTAACAGACAGACAAAAATTGTAAAAATTGTTATTTTGGGGTATGTACCGTATTTATGGTATATTCATATGTATGTAGTAAAAAACGGTTATATCAGTATTACAAACAGACACTCCAATTTTATTTATATGTTTCAGACCAAATTCAAACGATTTCGTTCAATCTTTATGTGTGTTCTTAAGAAAGATTAGGTTTACTCCTCTGTTGATATCCCTAACTGAAAATTCATTTAGAAGTATTGTTTATTTTATTGTTCTTAGTAATGTGGATTACTAACCCCATTACTATCAATTTACCATGTCAGGTGGACCTCCACGCAGTTCCCCTGGAAAATATTATGTTAAATTCGTGTATTTGTCATGATGGGCTGACTGAGCTCATACTCATCTTATCCTCCACTGGTGCCACGCCAGCGTAATCCGTTAGCGGAGGCGGGTACACTATACTAAACATCATCATCATCATTAGATGAGGAAATCAGTCATAGTGATTACACTATGACTGATTCCCTCTTATTAATTGTTTAACCAGTTCGTTATATATTAAATATTTTTTCTATTTAAGTATTTATTTCTATTTGAATTAGTGCTAATTGGTGGTTTGTATTCACACACTTAAACTTAAAAATTATTTAAAAGAGCAACACGCAAGTTTCTTGCTCGTTCTTCTTGATGAGACAGCTTTCCGAATGAGCGGTAGATTAAAAAATGTGATATTCAAAAGTGCTTCGATGTAAGTTTATGATTTTCTATTCTATTCTATACCATTATCCTACATTTAAAAGGTAGAAATAGATGGATGGAAGGTAGAGTGTTAAAAATATCAGGTGTACAATAGTCCAAAGGTCGTACATTAATAAATAATTTAAGTTTGAATTTGGGTACCCAGTAAGGCCGTCTTTTGCTCCCCTAAGCGTGCCAAATCCTGAAGATCGTTTCATGCTGTGCTCTATGATCACTACCGTACCCACTCTTCAAGCAGGAACACAATCCAATACAATGTCATCATCATCATCGTAGCCCGGAAGACGTCCACTGCTGGACATAGGCCTCCCCCAAAGATCTCCACAACGATCGGTCCTGCGCTGCTCGCATCCAATGCCTTCCAGCGAACTTGACCAGATCGTCGGTCCACCTTGCTGGAGGCCTTCCCACGCTGCGTCCTCCGGTCCGTGGTCGCCACTCGAGGACTTTACTGTCTCAACGGCCATCTGTCCTACGAGCTATGTGCCCTGCCCATTGCCACTTCAGAGTCGCAATTCTTCGGGCTATGTCGGTCACTCTGGTTCTTCTGCGGATCTCCTCATTTCTGATTCGATCACGCAAAGTAACTCCGAGCATAGCCCTCTCCATTGCCCTCTGAGTGACTCTGAGCTTGTTGATGGGGCCCATAGTTAGCGACCACGTCAATCCAATACAATGTGTAATTTATTAATTCGTGTAATTTACAGGACGTTCTTTAGGAAGCACTGCGCAATCATATCCATTCAAAGTGGATTGCTATAACATTTACGCACTCTCTATCTGTACGTAGGTAGATAATTATGTACGCTAATTGTATGTATGCACGATATATATACATATTGTAATTGTTTTTCACCTTCCTTTATCCGACAACGTTTATCTTTTATCTATTTATTAATTACATATATAGCTATTATAATTAACACGGTTACGTCCACAAAAAAGATATAATTATTTTTTAGTTCATTATAACATAATCTATACATATAAATAAAATTGGAGTGTCTGTTTGTAATATTGAAATAACCCTTTTTACTACATGCATATGAATGTATGTACGGTACATATACCAAAATATTTTTTTTTATAATTTTTGTTTGCCTGTTTGTCGGTCTGTTTGTCCCGGCTAATCTCTGAAATGGCTGGACCGATTTTGACGGGATTTTTTTGGCAGGTAGCTGATGTAATAAAGAGTAACTTAGGCTACTTATATCTTAGAAAAATAAAGTTAAATTCCACGCGGACGAAGTCGCGGGTACAGCTAGTTTTTTTACATAGATATTTTTTTGTAAATACATACATAATATACACACCCAAACCGTTAAAAACAATCATACTCAGGAACACAAGTGTTTGTACCGTGTGAGTAATCGATCCCGGGACCATCGAACATGAAGCGGTGGACCACCAAGGCCGTCAGTAACATCCTATTTGTTTATGAAATCTGAAACTATAAATCAATTATATATAACACTAGCTACTCGCCCCGAGTATACATGTATTATATATATAAACCTTCCTCTTGAATCACTCTATCTATTAAAAAAACCGCTTCAAAACCGTTGCGTTTGTATGTAATGTATGTAATGATTATAGACCTATGTGGATTTTTATATTTAATTAAATTTTTATTTTACATTGTTCTTAGAAATATATATCATACCTTACGCAACTATATATTGAGCTTGTTATTTAACAAATAATAGTAATATTAATCGTTATGATTCCCCATAGTAAAATGTGAAAAGAAACTGTATGTTCCAATATTGAGTTAGATAATTAAAATTATTTACAACTAGCTGTACCCGCGACTTCATCCGCGAGGAATTTACATTTGTTTTTCTAAAATAAAACATTTTTTCTAAAACAAAAGTAGCCAAAGTTACTCCCTTTTTCATCAGCTGCCTGCCAAAAAAAGTGATCTCAAAATAGGTCCAGCCATTTCAGAGATTAGCCGGAACAAACTGACAGACAAAAATAGTATAATATGTTATTTTGGTGTAAGTACCGTATTTATATACATATTTATGTAGTAAAAAACGGTTATCTCAATATTACAAACAGACACTCCAATTTTATTTATATGTATAGATAATAACAATTTATAATCGTAAAGTAATTAAATTAAATTTGCTTTGTTTTACCTGTAAACAGAAAATAACTAATATTTATGAATGCATAATGGAAAATAGCAATGTTTGGTTTGCAATTTGTTACTCATTCGATCGAACCCGCGACCGAGGCCGTAAACTTTACTTAGTTAACAAGAAAACCCCATACAAATAAAACGATCTCCTTAATTTTCCACTTCACAACATAAGCACAACATAGGTAATATTATCTGTGCTATTTATAAAGTTTATTATTAATAATTAAACAAATAATTAAAAGTAAGCAGATAGTTGTACATACTCGTCATATTTTTAGATGCCGCGTGAGAATATAGCAAATAAGATGCAAACTAGTAAAGCCTACTTCAGGGGTTCTCAAACTTAGATGACAACTCCGATGTAAAGGGATTGTTAGTAATGCCGCTCATTCGGACAGCCTTCATCGCAAGAAGAACGAAAAACTTGCGGGTTGCTCTTTTAAACAATTCTTGTAACATCATATTTTTAAGTTCAAATATTTGAATACAAACTACCATCTACCACTAATTAATTACTCAAAACATTTCTACAATTTACATATTAAAATAACAACTTGTCCAATTACTATTGCAGTTAATTATTATGTCTAATAGTTAAAAATATATCTATACTAGCTACTCGCCCCGGCTTCGCTTGGGTACATGTATTATACATATAAATTTCCTCTTGAATCACTCTATCTATTAAAAAATTGCATCAAAATCCATGGCGTAGTTTTAAAAATTTAAACATACATAGGGACGGACAGACAGTGCTTTGTTATATACTACGTAATGATAATCTGTATATTTCAAATGCATTGACCATAAATAATTTACATGAAGTCTCAGTAGTCAAGTTTGAATCGTCTGCAAGTTCGAATTTGCTACTCCCAGAATCGCCTGCGTTTCCGTACGGGATATGGGCCCCTGTACTGTAATTCAGGTTATTTTCCTGGTTTCGATTATGTAATTGCAATTGCAAACTAAACTAGCACCTGATAGCAACCGTTGCCTACGTACATAAAGTTTGGGAACCCCTATCATAACTAGTGTTCATGCCAATCCATGATGACGCCGGTTATCTAACATGACACTGATGTGACGCGTCCTGCCCACATATATATAAGAGAAAACGCTCTATACTCACCATAGATAAAAAAAAAACAGATTCAGAGGGAAACGTTTAAAGTTTTTTTATAAATACATATAATAAAATATACATTCATAATACAAATTTCCAAGAATATATCAAATGTAAGTAAAAATTATAAAATACTTACGACCCGCGCGAACTGGTATTTGCATCCATTACGAGAGAATCACTGCGTACGGTATTACGAACTACAAAGACTTACCACACCCAAAAGGTTCTTTTTATGGATGATAATGGAAAGGTGCACCCGCCTGCGCTAACGGTTTATGCTAGCGGGGCACCAGTGGAGGATGATAAGACGAGCATGATGTCAGGTCAGTTAGCCCATCGTGACAAATTCACCAGGAATTTAACACGATGGTTACCAGGGGGAACCGCGTGGAGGTTGACCTGACACGGTACTACCCAACAGGTTACACTGAGCAATATTAAAACAATCGGACGACCTCGGTGGTCTAGCGGTCTGACACACCGCTTTACGTCCGATGGTCGCGGGTTAGATTCCTCGTACGGCACAAACATTTATATTCATGAGTATGATTGTTTGTATCGGTCTGGGTGTTTTCTATGTATAATATGTATGTATTTACGAAAAAAATATCTATGTATATGTATCAGTTGTGTAGTACCCATAACACAAGCTTTAGCTAGCTTAACTTAGGTCTAGATGGCGCTGTGTGAATTGTCCTGATATTATAATTATTATAATCTGTGCCAATTCATATTTATTTATTTATTAAAAAAAACCCACAACTTACAATTCAATACATGAACTCAACAGTATATTTGTGTAACATTATGTTACCAACTGATTCTTTGGATAGAAATACAGAGAACACGTCGAAAGGGAATGTTTGAAATGTTGCTAGTAATGTACCATCTCAGATTAACCTCCACACGGTTCCCCCTGCAAACTATCATGATAAATTCCTGGTGCATCTTACCATCCACCACTGGTGCACCGTGAGCGTAAAACGTTAGCAAAGACCACCAACATGCACTATTGGTGGGTGCATCATTCCATTAACATCAATAAAAGAAAATAATAAATAAAAAAACGCTAAAATTTACGCATGTCGAGTGCTGAACTCATCACGTTTAAACTTGACAATACCTCTACCTTCCTCATCTGGTACATCCGTGAAAGTGTAATTATTTTAAACAAAGATTTTTGATGCCAAGAAGTGAACATACATTTAGTATGAATATGTACGGGTAATATGGAAGTGTGTGGATATTATTATTATTTATGTATTAATTTGTTAAATTTTTATTTCATTATGTTGTGGTATTGTTATCTAGCACGTGTGATTAGGTACGCCTGCGTAGGTACAAACTGAAAACCAGCGCTGGACGCCCATCAGTCCAGCAATAGCTGAGTTTGTACCTATTGCCAATCATGTTAAATATGTATAAATGTGTAACTGTGTAACTGTGCTGATGTTGGCAATAAATGGATTTATTATTATTATTATTATTACTATGTTTATCTTAATTTCTTGCCTATCGGGAGCATAGGACGAGTACATGCCATACAATACAGAATTAATCCAGTGAATTTCAGAAATAATCATGAAAATCAAAAGATACCCTGAATTTCCGAACCTAAAATTTTACTCATTTTTGATAGTTATGCATAAAAATTTCTACATGGTCACTGTGCATCATTTTTTACTGTAGAAAATCCATTAATTATTTCTCCAGTAAGTACGTGTATGAGTTAACATTCTACAGGTTTCGCTATTTTAATCAACACATATATAATTTTAATTAAACAACAAAAGTTATCTGTTTAAAGGCATAGAAAATTTAACTACATTTTTATAATTAAAATGGTTGATTTTAAATAGTTTTCTATTGTGAATTATTACCAAAAACCTTCATATGACTATTTAATTTCAGTTTAGAAAATGAAACAAAAACTGGATATAGTGAACGTTGAAAAGAGACAGCAGCGCGTGGTGGATGTTGAAGAAGCTTTAACTCTCACAGGTATCAAATATATATAATATACTAGCTGACCCCATAAACATTATTTTGCCATATACATTAAAATCGCTATTTACTGTAATAAAAAATAGTTTAGTAATGGAAGGGTGAAATTGTAGGGTTGTATGTAGTTTTAATGGCACATTATAAAAAAAATTTGACCAATAAGAAAATAAAAATCGGTCTTTTCGAAGGAGTATGGTAACTAACATTGTGACACGAGAATTTTATTTGCTATTAAAAAATAGGGGTTCATGATAGAGGGGTGAAAATTTAGGGTCTTTTTTGTAATGCGGCAATAAAAAATGCCACGATTTTTTATTGCCGCATTGCAAAAAAAAATGGCAACTAAAATTTTGACCAGACGTTTTATCGTTAAAAAAACGTTAGGAGTAGACAAACCTTATCATTTAGGGGTCTGAAAAATAGATAGTAGCGGATTCTCAGACCTACTTAATATGCATATAAAATTTCATTATTTTATTATTATTATTATATTATAGTATTGACACGAGAATTTTATATATAAGATTTTATTCTAAACAATATGAAGTTGAATCGTGATGTTTGTCTCTGGTTAACACGATCTCTATACATTGTACAAAGAATCATGGACATTCGTTCGGTTTTAGCACAGATAAGACAAGTTTTAGGAGGGCTGTTGTATTAAGTAAATATATGTATATAAAACTAGCTGACCCGCGGATCTTCCTTTGCATATGTACCTTTTTTTGCAATAGGAAAAGTGTGATAAACGGGCAAAAATCCTAAAAATACATTATTTATTACCTCGTTTACGTAAGTATACACTATTTTTTTTATATTTTAAATTAATGATACATACTTGCATGCATATGATTAGTATAGATTATATTAGCGCGAATATTTTTTCATAGAGTATAATTTATTTTAATTAATTCCATTTTCGCGCGTTTTTCCCGACAAAGACGCGTGTCTTGCGCGAAAAAAAAACAGAGTAAATAAAACACGCTTATTCTAAATAAAAGATGTAAATGTAACTAACATGATCCATAATAGTGTTACAAGTATATAAGTTGACAATATGATAAGCTTTATAATTATTTTGAGCCCCTATAAGTATGTATTACAATGTGCTAATAGTAGGTACATTATTTATAGAAATAGATATGATTTTCCAAAGGTCACTGAGAGATGTAAACAGCAATTATATTATTAACTAATCTAATTTGTTAATACAATACTAGACCCTAACAATAATTTTCAATTAATATATTAATAAACCTACTTGAGGTTAAAGCTGAATAAGCCGGATGTCTTTGCCTGAAACTAAATCATTTATCTCATAGTTAACATTAAAAAAAAATATTAAAGGTTTATGTGAACACAAGAAAATATTTTGATCGAGAAAATGTATCTGTTTATTTTTAATTAAAATATATGTTTTATTTATTATTTTATTATTAACTGGAATATAAATTAAAATACTTTCACTATGAATTTCGTTATTTGATAATCTACTTTGTATAGATACAAAATCTTAAAAATTCAAAAGTATATTACGTAATTACATTTGTACATGCAAATTTCCCATTTCTCTTAATTGAATCTGCATTTCGAATGACCGGCAGAATAAAAAAAAATACTATTCAAAAGTGCATCTATTTAAATAAAGAATATTTATATTTCTGAATAAAATTTCATAATGTACAATGTACATATATTAAAGCTGAGTGGAGCCATTCCAGTGTATATATGGATATAAAAAAATGATTATTTTATGATTATTTTTATTTATTTGCTCTTTTTTTTTCGTTTGTTGTTTATATTGTATTTTTTACATTGCACGAATAAAATATTTTTCTTTCTTTCTTTCATAATGTCGGCCAAATAGTAAACTATTTTTGACCAAGATTACTTCGCTATTGTTACTCAATTTTGCAATTGTTACATATTTCGGTACTAGCTGACCCGCACGACTGCGTTGGCATCACACTTTTAGACATTTATCATTATATTTCGCCCAATTTACATAATATCTTTTCAATTTATAATAATATAGCCTTTTATAATTTTGCCTATGTGATATTATCTTTACATACATAGTATATAACAAAGTCGCTGTCGCTGTCCGTCCGTTCCTAGGTATGCTTAAATCTTTAAAACAACGCTACGGATTTTGAAGTGGTTTTTTAATAGATAGTGAATCAATAGGAAGGTTTATTATATATATATATAATGCATGTACACGTGCGAAGCCAGGGCGAGTAGCTAGTTCTATGTATAAACTATATTACTGTAATGTTTTATCAAAATCAGTTCAGTAGTTTTTACGTGAAAGAGTAACAAACATCCATCCATCCATACTCACAAACTTTCGCGTTTATAATATTAAGTAAGAAGTGAGATACTTTTTATTTATATTTTTTTTATTATAAGAAGTTGTTTTATTTTATATCTTTTATTAGGCTTTGGAAAATATAATTTTGGTCTACTCCTGGTATGCAGCTGGACATTACAAGCCATGGGGATGGACCTTTTCGGGACCAGCTTCGTAGTGGCTGCAGCCGTGTGTGACCTTGAGCTGACGATGCAACAGCGAGCTCTATTGACTGCCATGCCTCTCGTCGGTTAGTTGTCGATATGTCACTATTGATTTTCTGCTGATCTCAATCTAAGAGATGGTAGTGAGTGCGTGTATGTTTCACTTGTTTATTATTCAAGTTTCTTATGTACCTAATAAATCAGTTGTTATGTCTACAATATCGGCTCATTAGCATTAGAAGGTCCAGGTATTAACTCTACGGCGTCCAAACAGGAAATATCCTCCCTTTTAAGCCTTTTGACTTACTTGACATCTGTACATCTTACAGAATGAGAGTCTGCTTGGCTTTATGGGCTGAGTCTTTTGCATTTCCAAGTGACGGGAAAACAGAATAAAAAAAAAGATAATACAGACGTTTTAAGAAATGGCGGGAACCGACGATTTAAATGTCTAGAACGAATTCGCTTTTTAAATATAGTACAATATTCTCATCCCATATGTTTAGGAGTGGTGGCCGGAGCTCAGTTATGGGGCTACATTTCGGACACGAAGGGCCGACGGCTGACACTAGTGCTGTCTATGTCTGTTGGCTTTATATTTGCTGCCCTCAGCAGCTTCGCGCCCGATTGGAGGACCATGGCTGTACTCAAACTGATTTCGTCTACTTTGTAAGTATATAACTACAACTATTATATGTATATATGCTCGATATATGCTCAGTTTTCATCATCGTGGTATAAAAATAATGCTCGTGCTACTACTCATGCCTTACTATTCTGTAGGACTAAGATGTCTTGCCACCTATGCTATAGCTAGCTTTTGCCCGCGGCTTAGCTCGCGTTAATATATCCCCTTAGGGGATAATTTAGGGGAATTTATCAAAATCCTTTCTTAGGGGATGCCTACGTCATAGTAGCTTTATGCATGCAAAGTCTCAACCCAATCGGTTTAAAACTGACAAAGTTTCATACAAACTTTCATCTCCTATTTTATCCCCTTGGGTGTAGAATTAATCAAAATCCTTTCTTAGCGGATGCCTACGTCATAACATCTACCTGCATGCCAAATTTCAGGCCGATTCGTCCAGTGGTTTGGGCTGTGCGTTGATAGATCACTATGTCAGTCACCTTTGAGTTATATATATTCAGATTTCATTGGCTTATCGCATCCATGAAATCATAGAACAATGTATAAGACAGACTGTACTACAATTGAAATACTCGATGAAAATAACTGTGTAAAATGTAACTATTTAGATTTTTTTTAATGGATGAAAATTAATGGTGGATCCTCTCGAGCAAACGATTTACGCTGGAGGGGCTCAAATGTAGATGAGTATGACTTTGGTCAGCCAGCTCTTTATGATAAATTCAGCAGAAACCTATTACGGTGGTTTCCAGAGAGACTGATTTTTTACATTGCTAATAATAGGTTCATTAGTTCATATTACCACAATAATAATAATAATAATAATAATAATAATCTCAGGACAATTCACACAGCGCCATCTAGACCCAAGTTAAGCTAGCTAGAGCTTGTGTTATGGGTACTAGATAACTGATACATATACATAGATATTTTTTTTTGTATATACATATATATTATACATAGAAAACACCCAGACCGATACAAACAATCATACTCATGAATAGAAATGTTTGTGTCGTGCGAGGAATCGAACCCGCGACCATCCGTCGTAAAGCGGCTTGATCGCTAGACCACCGAGGTCGTCGTTACTAACAATCTCCTCCCCTGACTAAATACGTGATCCTTTTGGAAATGATTCGATTAATTCCTTTGCAATTCCCTACAGACTTACTAATTCAACCTAATTTTATTTTTATTACGTATACAGAGATATTTAAAAAATGATTTTCTTACGTACCCTGCACGCCAATCGTACCGTGTAGGCAAATGTGTTTATACACGATAAAACTATAAACATTCCATTAGGAGTAGGAAAGATTTCTAATCCGCCAGTGCGAAGCTGGGACGCGTTGTTAGTTTTAAATAAATAAAAGGAAACAGGGCTTTAACAACACATAAACAAGTAAGAGACAACGACCTACTAAGATACAATGTTAAATAATTAAAATTCAGAATATCTTTACTCATGTAGGTCTATTACAGACGATCTTATGGTATCTCAATTCTACCGTCAGTTCGGAGTGATTTTGACATAAGAAAAACTGATAAGAAACTCAGCTCGTTGTTTTCGAACAGTACACATATTTGGTTTTAATAAAAACTGTGTTTTAATAAAAAAATGGATTAGTATTTTTAAGTAATTGGTATGCAATTATGGTTATCATGTGACACCCGTGATATCATTCATGCGTCATTCAAGAGAACTAATATATCATGTCTCTGATCCTGTAATTCCACTGCCTAATCTGCACCCTACAGCCGAAACACAGCTTACGGCTTAAGCTGATTGACGGCTGAAATAGGTTGACCCACGCAGCCGACTTTGACAGTCGATCTTTGATAGATCATAAAAGTACTCTGTTTTTTTATGGCACAAATGAACTATCGGCTCACCTGATGGTAATTGATTTCAACTATGGGCACCAGTAATATCAGGAGAATTATAGTGTTAGTGCGTTGCTCGACTTTTAAGACTGAATTGGGATTTTTCTTGAAGATTTCAATATCATGTCGGTTTGGAAATACCATTGCTAGTAGGTGATTCCATAATGTGATTGTGCATGGCAAAAGTTTCTACTATTACTGCAAAAAGTAGCCTCCGTTGTAACAATGCTAAGTTATTGAGCACAATTTTGTTTTAATGCATAGATTCTGTTATACAAATGTATTAGATCTGTTTTCTATATAAAATGATAATAATTATATCTCAGCACAATTCAATCAGCAGTATATAGTCCTTAGCTAAGCAGAGCTTGTGTAAAGGGTACTAGACAACTGATAAAAATAGTCACTTTTTTTTGTAAATACATACAAAATATCTAAACTGTTACAAACATTCGTACTCATGAATACAAATGTTTATGTCGTTCGAGGAATCGTACCCACGATCAATGGAAGTAAATCGGTAATCGCTAAACCGCTAGACCACCGAGGCCGGCATCAAGTTCGTATAGAAACGGATTTATTTCCGTTGTCAGGAAGTAAATAAACATATTTATCGTGAACGGAGGTTACCTGACGTAACAATTAACAATCATGAAACGTCATAACCATTGTTATAAATTGTAAATAACCCGCTTTTCCATTTTGCAACTGTGTTACATCACGCGATAGTTAAACAAAGTTATCTGTTTTGTGTAAATAAACAAGATAATATGCAATTATTGTTGTTATCTTTGGAATTCCGTTATCGCACGATAATATTACCCCCACGGTGAGACAATAACAGACACTTTTAATAATTACGCAAACGTTTGTTAACTCTTTGTTAGTTTAAGTTATTTTTATAATAATAATAATAATAACCCAGGCTAATTTACATAGCGCCATCTTGTCCCAACCTAAGCAGAGTTTGTGTTGTACTAAACATTTATAGATATGCTGTAATAGTCTTCTTTAAGGTGTACATAATAAATGTAGAAAATAGGATTGATGATCTCATTGCATGCAATGTACCAGGTCAGGTTGACCTCCAAGCAGTTCCCCGTAGAAACCATTACAATTCCTGGTAAATTTGACATAATGCATAGGCTAGCTGCCCTAATCTCATGTTTATCTTATCATCATCCACTGGCGTCCCGCCAGCGCAAACCGTTAGCGGAGACAGGAGCACCATTCCATTATCATCTATTAAAAAAATGAAAATGTCTCCACATATATAATTATAACTTCACATGATAATTCACACAGCACTATTTAGTCCTAGAATGTATTTTTACGGACTACTCTAATGCTGTTCGCCGCAGCTCGCCTTTACAGCTTCACCGGACGATACCGGTGAGTGCAGATGGCACTCCAAACCTGCAGGACTTTTGGAGCGGCTGATAGCCAACTCTCGCCTGACAGATATGAGTCTGAGGGCACCGCTAGGGGTTCAAGACTCGGCTCAGGCTATCGTAATTTAGATACCCATTCGAATTGGACGGGAGATCGCTCGGAGTGGATATTATATATAATATTACAGTTGAGACAGAAATACCCAAGTACGACTGCACACTTTGACACTTTTTACATGACCTTATAAGTCTACCTTGGTGAAATATCGCGAGGGTAGTATTTAATAGATACTTACTTTAGTAATTTTGTATCACAGTACTTCAGCGAGTAATTCTGGCGTATACACTTTACTGGGAGAGAGTTGCTCGGCGCGAGCGCGCGGCCGTTCTATGTTGCTATGCAACTGCTCACTTATGTGTTCACAGGCCGCTGTAGCTGGTAGGTACCCTTCAAATAATACTATAACAATTTAAACAATGTAATGTATAAATTAAAGTTCTTTTTGTAATTATAAAGTTTATCAACAATAATTAACGTTAGGTTACAAACTGTATGACGTGCGATATGATAGATTTATTTTGTCTTCAAAATTGAATTTGAATGAAAAAAAAAACTTTATAATAAATTTTCAATAAAGATAATCTACATCAAATTTTTTGGTATCAAATATTTTAATTACGGATGTATTTATTTATCTTAATATTTTATCTTAATATTATATAAAATTCACTAGAAAGAATCGATCAGAACTCGTTACAAACAAACGATTAGTTGTGGAAGTCCTCTTATGAAATTCACTGAAAATGTAATTTTTATAATCACTACTTACCGTCTTCTAAATAAAAATATACAACCAAGAAAGATATAGTGTGTTTTTATTATAGTTTGCTTTAATCAATACTTATTGCCGCTCTTTGGTAATTACAGATGCATTGATTAATATTTAAATGAACTTATTCTTTTTACTTATTACTAGATACAGATAGAATATGTTTTTATTTATATAATAATGTAAATAAGAGCATATTCTATCTATCTATCAATTTACATTTGTTACAGTATTCGCATACCCCATTCTCCCATTGGAATTTTCGTATCGGATCGATTTCCTAAACATATACTATCATCCGTGGCGTCTGCTGGCTCTGGTAATGGCAATACCGTGTGCCGCTACGGCTTGTCTTCTCCAACTATTCTACGAGAGCCCCAAATTTCTCGCGACACATGGAAAATATGAAGAAGCCCTCAATGTACTCAAGAATATCTACGCTTGCAATACCGGGAAGAGCGGAGAAGATTTTCCGGTTTGTATTAATATCAAAATCATGTAACCTAAATTTTGATTCTAAAACTTGTTTCTGGCGGTTTATGAATTCCTAGTAGTTTCGTTGTTTGATAAATATATTAATTTATATATTATATATTTATTATATATACAATTTTAAGTCTGTGCTGTGTTTTATGAAATAAACAAGTAGCAGGTGGCCTACTGGGTGGTAGAAATTACCTATATGTTTTTATATGAACAGCATCAAAACTATCACCTCCCGTGTTTGTCTCCGTAACCTATAATGTTTATTTCAAAATTGCTAACTTCTGCGATTTTCTGGAGTCCTAGTACCTTTGTTGTTTGGTTGAAATACATTAACATATTTTATTTATGATTGTATATGATATATTTCATCTGTATTCAGGTAACAAAACTATTGGAGGAGAAAGAAAAGACTTCGATTGTTCAAGGGTCATTCCTGAAATCCCTGTGGCATCAAACCGTTCCATTATTCCAAGCACCTTTGTTAAAAAACACCATAAAACTTTTCTATTTGGTCGCCATCATATACATGACGTAAGTTTAAATTAACTAGTTTTACATAGAGTAGAGTTATTTTTTTTAAATACATTGATTTTTGTTACACAAGACATTGATTATTTTATTTTTAATTGTTATTGTTTTATGTATATTAGCAAGCAAATTTTAGAGACACTTTAATGTCTAAAGCTCATAAAAAAATGTTAGCCCATATAGTATTTTTTATATTTCGTATTCTTATGTCGTCTGGAGGGCGTCATATTAAATTTTTGCCTTTACACGACACGTTCTTTAAAGCGCGTGAAAGCCAGCGGGCCCAATCATGAATGATTGCATTCGACTATTTTTTGTATTCACTTTTTCGTGCATAATTGTCCGTATGTTTCATATCTATTCACTTTCTTTTAAAACTTTATAATTTATTCCACTGATTTTATTTTCCAAATACACGTTTAAGATTTATAAATTATTAATAATTGTCTTTGCTCCATATTCAGATGTCCGCCATTTTGCAATGAAATGCGCGGGAATGCGCTCACTGGCGGTCCACGCGGTCTTTCTCTTTCTACTTTTACATGCTGTTTCTTTTCTCAGTGAAAGCCAATTTGCGTGTGAAAGAGCGTACGTGTAAAGGCAGATAATATAACGACTCATAACCTATAGCTGGATAATCTATATTCAACAGCCAGCGTCCTAGTATCTACATTTATTAATATTCATAATAATGTAATCACCACACTCCATGAGATAAGTTGTCGCCTTCTTTGTACTTTACTTAATTAGCTGAAATTACATAATTCTTATATATATTCATTTTTAAATACAAGATTTCACATACATGTTAGAACTTTTGTTAGCAAAGGAGAACTTATCTCTAAAAACCGCATGACACAGGAAGTGGTGTGTTAGTCACAAAAGAGCAAATAAAAAAAGTAAGAAAAGACTTTTATTCACAGAGGAAGCGGTTTCATCCTTTGGCTTCCGTATATTATGAATAATCTTTTCTCGGCGTTGGGGACTGGGGGTGGGGATGGTATGAACCTTTGCTCCATCATCAGATATTCCACTGAAGATCAATATGTTACAAATGGAAATGAAACTGTAAGTATTACTCTTATCCTTACAAACGAAGATAAGGCGACACGACGCGCCGCTATTCCCAAAAGTTCATCCATAAATTACGTCACGTCACACTAGTCGTCTACGTCACACGAAAGGGTGGAAAAGCGATTGACAAAGTGTAACACTATCCTACCCCAACGTGTGCAGACTGTGACGAAGTGTGGCAAAGGGGCCCTACACTTTGTCATACTTCGTCACACTTCGAAGGATTATTTTCACGACGTCACATTTTAATAACAGAAATAAAACTAATGTCATAACTGCACTTTGTTAAGTTGAACAATTTTAGATGTTAATTATGAAATATGTGACATCACAACCTAAAACAGCGTGGCATAAGAAGTGGTGAGTGACTTAAAATGTTCAAAGAATTAATTTAGGAAATTTTATAAAGTAACTCTTCATCATAGTCATCATCATCATTTCAGGTCGTAAGACGTCCACTACTGAACAAAGACCCCTCAAAACACTCCACGACGATCGGTCCTGCGAAACGTGGTCCTCTCAATTAAACAAATACTTTAAAATAAAATAAAAAATGTTTCTTCTATTCTTTTCTAGATGATTACAGATGTATGCGATGACACGATACAAGACACGACTCTACTGTCAGCTATGACCTATGGAGCCCTCGCCAGCTCCAGCAATCTGGTGCTGTCCCTGACTTGTGGCAGCAGGAAGCGCACGGCAATGATGGCCATCCTGGCCACCTCAGCATCAGCAGCTGTACTCCTCAACCTGGTTGCTGTACCAATCGCTGGAGGGATATTCTTCTTCTTCTTCATTCTGTGTGCACTCAGTATGGGGATCTTGAGCGTCTATTTCGTGGAGCTATATCCTACTTCGTTAAGGTAAGTAGTACTTCTTTTATGGTCAGTAAGAAATTATTAATGATGAAATACTGCTCAACTGATAGAAATACTTAAATAGTGGGTATATGTAAGTATTTCCCAAGCTAAGCATAACACAACTTAAGCTAAGACTAGATGGCGCTGTGAAAATTGTCCTGGATCGTTTATTATTATTAGTGGTTTCGGATATTTTCCATATAAACACAATATCAATTTTTCTCAACTTAAACTCAACCACTCATTCGGTGTAGGGCTGTTTCTTTTTACGATTTGTATGTACCTATGAAAACACACACATTTTTTATTATTTGTTTAATTCCGCTACAATTAGTATATGTAAGCGTTTCTGGCTTCATTAGTATTATTACATTTTTTTATAGCATAGGGGACAAACGAGCTTGCGTCTCATCTGATGCTAAGCGATTACCGCCGCCCATGAGCACCCGTAATACCAGGGGAATTGTAAGTGGGTTGCCGTCATTTTAAGAAGGCATAAGCTCTTTTTTTTTAAGGTTTTAATATCGTATCAGTTCGGAAATACTATTGCTGGAAAGAGTTTCCACAATGTGGTTGTGCGTGGCAAATTTTTTCTGGAAAAACGCACGGTGGAAGAGCGCCTATCATCCAGATGATTAGGATGGTATTTTACTTCTTGGCGGGTAGTACGATGGTGAAATTCAGCAATTAGTATTATTGTAAGATTTTCTGCACTGCTTTTCTTCCTTTGCGAGTTCAATTCCTCGCATGGTACAAAAATTTGTAGTTAAAAGTATGATTGTTTGTATCAGTCTGGGCGTTCTCTATTGTATATTATGTAGGTGTTTATATCAGTTGTCCAGTACCCATAACACAAGCTCTGCTTACCGTGGGACTATATGGCGTAGATGGCACTGTCTTTATTGTCTAGGGTTATTTATTATTATTATCACTTTCTATAAATACATTTATTCCACCCAAAGGTATCTCATCTTTAGGTCGAATAAATCTTTGTATATAAAAATTACGTGTCACGTTATTTGTCCGCGATGGACTCTTAAACTACTGAACCGATTGCAAATTTGATTTGCACATTGTGTGCAATTTGATCCAACTTGAAAGATAGGATAGCTTACATCTCAATTTATAGTCGCAATATTATTTAACCTTGGCTACAGGAACGCGTGGTCGGGTCTGCTAGTGTATTTATAGAAAGTGCAAATAAAGGAATCCATTCTATAATAATAATAATCTCAGGACAATTCACACAGCGCCATCTAGACCCAAGTTAAGCTAGCTAAGGCTTGTGTTATGGGTACTAGACAACTGATACAATATACAATCCACACATAATATACATAGAAAACACCTAGACCGATACAAACAATCATACTCATGAATACAAATGTTTCTGCCGTGCAAGGAATCAAACCCGCGACCATCGGTCGTAAAGCGGCGTGCTAAACCGCTAGACCACCGAGGTCGTCAAATTTTTTACCTTAACCTTGCCTGTTTTGTTACAGAGGGATGGTATCATGCCTTTCAGTCATGCTGGGCAGATCGAGTGCATTCATTGGCGTCAATGCAATTGGATATCTCATATCGGCCAACTGCGAACTCACTTTTTACATGTGGTCGCTACTTTTACTCAGTGAGTGATAATTATATTATAATTTGTCAAGGTAGACTTTATAGAAAGTCAGATCACTTTGTACAAAGTCCACGACATGGGTGTTCTTTTTAAGCCGCCAAGTGACGTGCTGTGTCAACTGTTCTTATTTCAAGGGCAAGATATAGATATAGAGACCTCGTTGGTTTAGCAGTTTAACAAATCGCCTTAATTTCCGATAGTCGCGGGTTGTATTCCTGCGCAGTGCAAACGCTTTAAGTATGTTTGTTTGATTGATTGATTGTGTGCATCGGTCTGGGTGGTTTTTTATGTAATATACATAGGAAAAACCCAAATCGATATGATACAATTATATTGATATATTTAAATAAATGCGTCTAAGTATATTAAGTCAGATGACTCAGGTTCGATTCTTCGTTGTAAACATTTGTTTTTAATAGTATAATTGTTTGTATCGGTCTGAGTGTTAATTTATATTCTGTATCTGCATTTAAAAAAATATTTTCTTAATAAACAATATTATGCTCTACTCTATACTAATAATATTTAATAATTTCACAGGCGCTATAACAGTCACGTGGTTTCTACCAAGAGATCCGGTTGAAGATAAATAAACTAATTCTAAATATTTTATATCATAAATAACTCGAAATAACTAAGACTGAACTAAAGAGAAGCTCAAATAAATAATTTTTTGCGTGAAAGAGTAACAAACATCGATCCATAATATCATTAAGATTATCACAATATAAAATTATTTATAGATTTGATATGTACCTGAATCTGTAGTTAAATGGTTAAGTATGTTTGTTGTTAATTTAGTTATATGCTGTATAAAATATATTTATAATAAAATAAAAAAATATTATGCTATTTGGTGTATCATTTCGTGCTTTATATTGCCTTTATACCACCACCACCAATTACCACCTCGGTGGTCTAGCGGTCTAGCACACCGCTTTACGACCGATGGACGCGGGTTCGATTCCTCGCACGGCACAAACATTTGTATATATGAGTATGATTGTGTGTATCGGTCTGGGTATTTTCTATGTATAATATGTATATATTTACAAAAAAAAAAAAATATATATTCAGGACAATTCACATAGCGCCATCTAGTCCCAAGTTAAGCTAGCTAAAGCTTGTGTTATGGGTACTAGGTAACTGATACAGATACATATTTTTTTTTTCTTAAATACATACATATTATACAAGAGAAAACACCCAGACCGATACAAACAATTATACTCATGAATACAAATGTTTGTGCCGTGCGAGGAATCGAACCCGCGACCATCGGACGTAAAGCGGTGTGCTAGACCGCTAGACCACCGAGGTCGTCAAATTTGTATCAGTTATCTAGTACCCATAACACAAGCTTTAGCTAGCTTAATTTGGGCCTAGATGGCGCTGTGTGAATTGTCCTGAGATTATTATTATTATTACTATTATATTATTTATAAGAAGTCTACGTCATCAATTCGCTGAGCATTCTTTGTAAGCTAAATTTCAGATCAAGAACAGTGAAATTACAGGAAACCGTTAACACAAAATGCACCATTCCATTATCAACCATTAAAAATAGTATACATATATTAGGCAATATTACGAAGATAAATATTTTCTGTAGGCGTTCTACCGACACATCACGTGATCCATTAATTGTTTCTCCGATCTGCTCTGTTTTGAACTAACAATGGTAAACATCATAATATAGATTATATTTACAATAATATTGTATGTTATTTAGATAAATTCATATAACATTATCATGCGTTAGGAGTGTCTAAACTTATATACTCAGTGAACAAAATAATTAGTTATATAAGAGTAACTATTTTTTTCCAATGGATAAGTATAGAATGGTGCATCCGCCTGCACTTAAGCTTTTGTTATACGCTAGTGGATAGTTATACACATACTCAGTGAACAAAATATGAAAGTACCTATTTTTTTGCGATGGATAAATCAAGAATAATGCACTCGCCTGCACTTAAACTATAGCTATATTCTAATGGACACCAGGGGAGTATTAGAGGGTGAGAAATAACTCGGATAGGTTCATCGTGACGAATTCACTATGAATTAAAACTATTATGGTTTACGTGGTTGGAGCACAACCTGACATGGTATATTGCTAGTAGTGAGGTCAATATCCTCTTTTAATAATAATCCCTTCCACTCCAACTATTGTATTAATAACACTAACTACAGTAAATAGTACAATTATTTCACTAGTACACTCATCAGCTAAGTTGTACGCTATAAACAAATAAATTATGTAGCGACACCTCATCACATCTATACATATAAATAAAATTGGAGTGTCTGTTTGTAATATTGATATAACCGTTTTTTACTACATGCATATGAATATAAATACGGTACATACACAAAAATATTTTTTTTTACCATTTTTGTCTGTCTGTCTGTCTGTTTGTACCGGCTAATCTCTGAAATGGTTGGACTGATTTTGGAACTTTAGAACTTAGACTACTTTTATTTTAGAAGAATAATGTAAAGTAGATTCCACTAGGGCGAAGTCGCGTGTACAGCTAGTTTAATATATTATTCATGTAGGTCTATTAAGAGTCTATAATAGGCCTATATGAAAAAAGATACATTCTGGAAAAATTTGGATGTTATATATGTTGTTTAAGAATTGTCATCTATTGTCAATGATTTTAGTCAAAGTTTTAAATAAGAAATAATTAAAGCCCCTTATTATGATACATATAGATCTTTATTTTGATCCAGCTGCATCTGGCGGATTATAGTCAGTAGTCTTTGCTTGCAGTTTGGTTGACAAACAGTCACCACTAGGCTTCCAAGCTATATCCGAACTCTATTAAATGACTGATTGCAAACACGTGTCGCAATATGGATGTAGATTCAATATCAGTCGAAATTTGATCACCAATGAGAAGGTACCCTCCGATCGATACTACGACGGCCTGAGCCGAGGTTCGAACCCCTAGCGGTGCCATCAGACTAAAGTCGTATCCATCAGACGGGAGTTGGCCTTCAGCCGCTCCATAAGTTCTTCCTTTGGTTTCGAGTGCCATCTGCACTCGCCAACACACACACATCGGCCAACAGCATTAGAGTAGTCCGAAAAAAAAGTAGTATTGTGTTATATGATTATCAGTAATGAAACTTACAGTCTACGTACCATTTATTTGTTATTGGAATATGGTAAATTATAAAAAGTAATAAATCTATATAAAAAATATAGCATCGGCAACAATGATTTTATTATTATAATAATATTATAATCTAAATCCAGTGCATATAAAAAATATAAATTACCCACTGCAATTAGCACTTAGTGCACTCACACGTTCACCTCAATGAACAGCAATATAACTCCCTATCAATGGTGTTTATTGACTAATCGTTATCAATAAGACTAATATTCTCACGCGGTATTTCCCATAAAAAGAAACTATAAGCGAAATAACATATACCATTAGCAATTGTCAAAATAGTTTTAAAACTTCGAGATGGGTTAGTTAGTTTGTTTATAATAATAGCAATAAAAAAATCACAAACTCTATTTAGTTTGGGACTAGATGGCGCTGTCTGATGTTGTCAACATCAGTTGTCTAGTACCAATAGAATAACCCGTATCAACATAATACTTATTTTTGGGGGAAAGGGAATTGTTAGTAATGGGGTTTAGGGTTTTAGTTTAGGAGCGTTAGCGCAGGCGGGTGCACCATTCCATTATAATCCATGAAAAAAATACTTATTTTCTTAAATACACACATAATATATATATAGAAAACACCAAGAATGACTACTGAATATTCAATACTAAACTATCCACCGTGCGAGGACAGCTAAACGGTTAGAAAACCGAAGCTGTACAGCCTAATATACGAGGTTTTCAGATCAGACTTTGGCAACCAAAAAGCCTAAATTTTTCTCTACAGCCGTCTCTCAGATTAATTTGTTTTATTATGAATGTGTCAATTACTGGAGTCTAAAATATAAATTAATACTACTTACATGTTTAGTGACGGATAGATTCAAGTTTACGATTTTAGGGTCTAAAAAGGGATAATTATTGCGTTAGTTTAAATTATATTCAAATTCAAAATATCTTTATGTCAAATCCACCGTCAGTTCGGAGTGATTTCGAGATGAGAAGTGACAAAAAACTAAGCTCGTATACTTTTCAAATATAGTTGCACATGTTTACAATAATACGTATTCATTTTGAATTCAAATTTGGGAGAATAGAGTGCCCGGCTTATACTAATGCAATTTTGTAAAAAGCAAATAGTCTAATCAATGTGTAACCCTAACAGACCAGTTCCCACAAGCAGCACCCGTTCACGAGTATGAGGAACGAGCCAGCCATCATTACATTCAACCATATTTGTTTAACTTTGTAATCGATTGAGATCTACTAAAATTGTTACTTAACTCAATATTGTCCCTTTATATTAACATTTATAAACAAACATACAACTAATAAAAACATCGTGAATATCTCATTAGGGGAATGAAGATTAATATTGGTTGATATAATCTGTTTTGTTCACTCATAATATCAGTATATATTGTTGCCAAACATTCATTTATCAACTAAACTTTCTCAGTTGTGGTAGAAAAACTTCGTAAACAAGACTCTCATAGAAATAAGTTTAGTGAAACCAAAATATTATCCATGTGAATACATTAAATTATTAGATTAATAGTCAAAAAATTATAATAAACGTATGTTTATTTCCTTGCTTTCTGTACGCATGTCCAATTTATATTACACTTCATTGGCTATATATATGTAAATATAGAAGCTGAAGATTTTATAGAGTAACTAGCTACTCGCCCCGGCTTCGCACGGGTGTACATGTATTATATATATAAACCTTCCACTTGAATCACTCTATCTATTAAAAAAACCGCTTTAAAATCCGTTGCGTAGTTTTAAAGATTTAAGTATACATAGGGACGGACAGACAGCGACAGTGACTTTGTTTTATACTATGTAATGAAGACGAATAAAATTAATTTGTATTTATAGCCACATAAAAAGTCGATTTTAAGTTTGTGTGAAAATGTATAGTTACACAAAAGATGTTTACAAAATACCATTTGAAGTTGCTCTGGATAGAGCAGGTAAGTGCGTAATTGGTTTTTAATCCATTTTTTATTGTACATACATAGGAAAAATTCAGAAATTTTATAAACTAGCTACTCGCTCAGGCTTCTCACGGGTGTACATGTACATATTATACATATAAACCTTCCTCTAGAATCACTCTATCTATTAAAAAAAACCGCTTTAATATCCGTTGACTATAGGGACGGACAGACAGCGACCGCGACTTTGTTTTATACTACCTAATGATACTAGCCGTGCCCGTGATTAGATCCGCGTGGTACAGTAACCTTGGATAGCATAAAATATTTAATGATCTAACCCAAAAAACACAAAGAAAAAGTTTCATCATTCTAGCTTCAAAAATGTCGAATTTCCATACAAACTTTCATCTCACCTTTCTACCCCTCACTATCCTTTTTCACATTAAACATTATGGCTATATGGCTTTCGAGGGTCTGGACTATCTGTGTACCAAATTTCATTTAAATCAGTTTAGTAGTTTTGGCGTTAAGGCGGGACAGACGGACAAAGTTACTTTCACATTTATAATATTAGTAAGAATAATGTGAATAAACGCCATAACCATATAAAACCCAGTGGACGATCCATGCGATCAAAGTAGCGGTAAAAAGTCCGCATCATTATCGATTGTACCATAATTGTAGCCAGTACAGAGAAATTGACCAGCTATTGTAAAGCAGATAATATCTGCCTCTCACTCCACTTTTATCTAGTGGACTGAGAAGCAGATATCATCCGCTTGACCAAGACCGTTCTGTCAAGAGCGTGTCGCAATATGAGTTCACTTTATAACGGTTGGTAAGCGCGTACAATACGCAATTATGCACCTGTGGAAAAAATAATACGCTTATCAAAAGCTCGGTCACCAAGGCATTTATATATGTATTTATCTTATATATAAAATTCTCGTGTCACAGTTTTCGTTCCCATACTCCTCCGAAACGGCTTGACCGATTCTCATGAAATTTTGTGAGCGTATTGAGTAGGTCTGAGAGTCGGCCAACATCTATTTTTCATCCCCCTAAATGTTAGGGGTAGTCCACCCCTAAAATTTTTTTTATTTTAAGGCAAAACAACGTTTTTTTATATATAAAATTCTCGTGTCACAGTTTTCGTTCCCATACTCCTCCGAAAAATTCTCATGAAATTTTGTGAGCGTATTTTAAGGCAAAACAACGTTTGCCGGGACAGCTAGTTATACTATACACATCTTTTTAGGTTTCGGTTTATACAGCTACCTGGTGTGTGCGCTAACTGGTCTCGTCATACTATCATTTACTTGTATAGTGTACGGCACCATGATACTGGTGCCTACGAGCGCCTGCGAACTGGAAACAACCTCAGCACAACAAGGGCTGCTAGCATCTGCACCTCTTGTGGGTCTGTATATTTAGAAGCATCATAACAAATTTTAGAGAGGTAGCTTTTGCATAAACTTTATGCTGCGTGGATGCTTTGTCACATCCATTTCAGTCGCAAAACAGCTTGCTTGTAATCTGGAAGTATCTAAATTGGTAAGGAATAGTTATTAGAAATAAAGAATTGAAGAGTGCATTCTACGTTGGATAAATCAATCTAAGGCTCAGCCTTTTTAAAAAAAAAATTTCGTACTTTTGGCAAAAATAGTGGACATTTTTCATTATTTGTTATATTATTACTTTTCACTTCTGTCATCTTTCATCTCGCCTTTCATCTTTCCTTTTTTTTCCCATTATCTATGTATGTACCAAATTTCGTTTAAATCACTTCAGTAGTTTTGGCTTGAAAACGCGACAGGCAGACAGAGTTACTTTCGCGTTAAGTAATGGTTACCATTCTATATTACGCACTACAATTAGCAAAAATAGAATAATAACCTTGGATAATTTACGACCCCGTCTACATCGATTATATGATTAATTCGCTAATAGACCATTTCATAATTATTCATCTGTCAGGAACGATCGCCGGTGGCGTTCTAGGCGGGTACTTGGGGGACACCCGAGGTCGGAGGAACACGTTACTCATGACCCTGTTCCTCGGCGCGGTCACCAACGCACTCATCAGCATATCAGTCAATTGGATCATGATGATCGTTATGCAGTTTATCGCTTCTTTCCTGTAAGTCCAAAATTTTTTATGGCATATCACATAGATATAAACTTTGCCAGTATGCCCTTTTCTTTAGAAATTGCAAAATTGCCATGCGCACCACAATACCAGGGGAATTGCAAGTCCGTTATGAGATTTTAAGTAGTTCTGATGTATAAGCTGTATTATTGTAAAGTTTTATTAGAAACCATTCCGTAGTTTTTATAAGAAAATGTGACAAACGTCCATCCATCATTCACACTGACACACTTCCGCGTTTATAATATTAGTAAGATGACTCTGAGGCGATATGAAGTTGTCGGGCCAGCTACATACATATATGGCTAAATGTTTTTTAAATGACATGCGCTAACAAGCTAATGGTAAATAAATAACCGTCCATGAACACCAGAACAAGTACTAGTGTGTTGCCGGCCTTGAGAGAAGATCTACCCTCTTTTTTTGAAGCCTGCAGCACGGGTTCTGCAATATTTTTACTGTATGTTTACTTTTGCTGCGTAAAGTTTTTAGAAAACTACACTAATAATGTACACGTAGCACTATTAACTTTAAAAATGTATGATGTAATTAAAAAAAATATCGAATTTTAAACACAAGAAATGTTATTTGTTAAACAGCTTGTTCAAATGTTACAATATTTTAGGGTGTCTGGAAACTTCTCACTCGCCCTGACACTCCTGAGTGAGAGTGTCCCCATGACCAAGCGAAATTTGCTCATGCTACTGGTATCTAGCATTTTCGTTCTCGCCCAAGGACTCATGTCAGGTAATACATACGAGAAAATTATGTAATCTTTTTTAATCACAATTAAAAGTAGTAGGTATATGCAAAGCTCAACATCTATTTCTAAGAGGTTGTTAGGTACAAATAATTTTGCTTACTTGGAGATTTATCAAAGTGATTTTAATAACATTTTTTTAAATAATCATATTAAATTAGGAAAATCAGAGGCATTGTCAACTGTCGACGTCGTCGTTAAAGCAACACTTGACTTAAATCGTTGGGTATATTAACATCCATCGTGTTAGTGGTTGAATCTATTACCATGTCTGTATTGTCCACTGGAGAGTTACTAGTAGGTAATAAGTTGGTAGCGACAAAAACTTTATCAGCCTACGAAAAATCCGACTTTGATCGCATCATTAAGAATAACTCTAAAACTACTGGTTAGATATTGATGATAAGTAGATAGAACGATATAATCCATATGAGATACACCAGCATTCAAATCGTTAAATCGGTTCACGTAGAAAATTTAAAAAATAGGTTTTATTCTTCTTTTTCAAAATATTCTGATACTGTTGGCCGCACCTGGCCTAGCTAACCGAACAGGATGCGAGTGAAGATAGCACTCCAAACCCGCGGAAGGACTTATGGAGCGGCTGAAGACCAACTCCTGCCTGACGGATACAACTTTAGACTGAGAGCACAGCTAGGGGGACGCACCTCGATGCAGGCCGTCGTAATTTCGATCCCCGTTTGACTTCGACGAGGGATTGATAGAAAGGGTGTCAAATTGAGAACCTCCTCTGTTTTTGGAATTAGTAGATATTTTTTATTTGCAGTTGTGGCGATTCCTATAATACCACTAAGTTTCTCATACTACCTGCCTTCGCTTGGCATTTATTGGAATTCGTGGCGTACGTTGGTGGTCATCTACTCGCTTCCGGGTCTTATCAGCATGTGTTGGCTGAGTCTGATGAAAGAGAGCCCCAAATTCGTGTTCTTGAAGGGCAGCGAACAAGAAGCTATTGAGATACTGAAGTTCATTCACGGAATGAACAATAAGAAAGGTCAGAAATATGAGGTAAGTTTATATGACGGTCTCGGTAGACCAGCGGTTTAGCTGGCTTCTGATGTCTAACATTCGTATTCATGAGTATGATAGTCTGTATCGGTCTGGGTATTTTCTACATATAATATGTATGTATTTATGAAAAAAAAACTATGTATTTGTTTGTCTCAGTTGTCTAGTACCTATAACACAAGCTCCGGTTAACTTGACTTGACGGCGTTGTGTGAATTGTCCTGAGATCATTATTATTATTACGTGTCTTTGTTATTATCCCAGATAGAGGAGTCAGTTGCATTGTCAACTATCGATATCGTGGTAAACGCAACAATTAATATGTCCACATTTTCCTGGATATATGTACTTTGTATGACGCATAGGGCGAGCCTACCGGAATTGCTCGGATACGTTTTGTTTTATTTTTTATCAATATTCACAGAGACAATATTCTCAGAAATATATGTATATTGGGTAGTTTGCCGCCTTCTCATTCCCGTATACCAATGAAGAAAATGAGATCAAATTATTATCAATAAATATATATTTTTTGATCCCAACTTTTTTGTTTTCACTACCGTTTTTCGAACATTTCCTTTTATACAAACCTTGCTCTAATAATTACGAACCACAGCTACAAATAGAACAAGAAAAGTATTATTAAATTTATTCTGAAGTTCTGTGCGTAATATTCATTTTTATATATACATACAAAGTTTGATATCAACCAGATTCGAACTCAACAATCTGAATTAAAATCTTGATACTAAACCGCTTAGTCACACGATGCTGTCTTTTATTATATCTAGAACCTCTTAATATTTATTCTGTTCTGAATTTGCAGGTGTATGGACTTCAAAAAGAGAAAAGCCTAATTACAGACAGATCGAAGAGAGGTCAAATATTGCCACTGTTCAAACGGCCCTTCCTCAAATACACCGTTATATTGATTGTACTCAACCTCTTACAAGTGTAAGTAAATTTTGTTTTAATAAAATATAACCATTGAAGTAGACCTTGTACGAAATTTAAAAAAATCAAATATATATATATATATATCTAATAAAATTCTCTATTTTGGATGATACAACTTTTACATTAATTATATCTAGTTGTCCAAGCCCTTTTAAGCATAAAAATGCCAGGCCGAGCCTCCACACTTCCATAGCTTACTTATATATATATTTTTTATTTATTCATAGTACAGTTATATATGAGTTTTTAACTATGTAATAAATTATTTTGTATATCTATTTCTAATGTATATGTATATAACTTATTATAAAAGTATGACAGGGAATATGCGCGAATTGAAGTTCTTACAACTATGTGTGCGTGGGTGTGTGTGTGTGAGTGAGTGTGCGATTTTTCGTAACGAAAAAATAATGATCGCGTCAATTTTTAAATAATAATAATTACTCCACAATCTATTTATGTATATTACTATTTGTTTACAGTGTGGGGCCATTCATAGTATGGCTACCGACCATTGCCAACCAATTCATAATCATGTTCAGAACAGGGGAAGCTATGGATCTCACGCTGTGTGGTGTTATAGCACTTGATCTTGACGCGATATCTCATGTAAGTTGTATTTTATACATATGGAACAGCAAACAAGTTATCTTCTTGATTATTCTAAGAGGGAGATGAACTTCTTAGCATTCCATGGATTCATCATGGGGGTGCCGGGTCCATTGTGTGGCAGAGAGTGAAACTCCGAGCAGTTCCCGGGACTTGTGACCCGAGTGTAGTTTTTGGTGGATTTTTATGGGTGGGGCCCATTTGCCGACGTACGTCATATATATACTCACCTTCACTGCTCGTGTTTTTCTCCCTGCCCAACCAAATCTCGTAGAACCCTGCTGGTATAATTCTGGTATAGAACCCACTGGAGTTCCTAGACAGGTTCAGATCTTTTAGAACATTGCAGAGATTTTTCAATGGTACTTCTACCACATAAATTTACCATAAAACCATTTTTCGGTCGCAGTAATATTGTAGAAGTAATATAATAGTTTATATTACAGTGGATCAATCCCTAGTACACCTAAATTAGGATCTATTCAGATGTAGCGACAAAAATTGACTATTTGTTTAACATATTAATATTACACATGATGTTCCTATTTTATCATACTAATAGTATAATTTGATATCACTGTTGTTTCATTTTGTTGATACAGGCAGATGTTACTACACCCTGTGGTTTAAATGAAACTGCGCTGCTGATTGTATTGAGTGTAGGAGTCGGACAATCATTAGTCAACACAATTATAAGTGTGGTAAGTTTATCTTTCTTATATCTATTTAAAAATTAAATAGTTATCTGCTTGTCTATCGATGTAAGTATGTATGTTTAATACTCCTTCACGCAAAAACACTTTGATTTTAAATGTTGCAACGCGCATGACATCCCTTGTATCTCAGGTGTCCATTGGCTATGGTAACCGTTTACCATTAGATGAGCCGTTCACCGTATACTCCGTATTGCCAATGTCGCAATATAAAAATGTAGCTAGAGATATGTAGCGCGATGGTATCACCTCACCACTGTAGTTATGATGTGATATGTGTATATGATGTGTCGCTACATAATTTATTTGTTTATAATGTAGTACTTAGCTTATGAGTATACCAGTGAAATAATTGTACTATTTATTGTACATTAGTAAGTATTTATTTATTTATCCCCTCCGATCTATCCCCCGTCCAATTCAACCGGGGATCGATATTACGACGGCCTGAGCCGAGGTTCGAACCCCTAGCGGTGCCCTCAGACTAAAGTCGTATCCGTCAGGCGGGAGTTGGCCTTAAGCCGCTCCATAAGTCCTTCCGCCAGTTTGGAGTGCCATCTGCACTCGCCCCCTATCGTCCGGTGAAGCTGTAAAGGCCAACTGCGGCTAACATCATTAGAGTAGTCCGGAAAAAAAAACAGTAGTAAGTTTATTAGACTGTGTGGTACATGCCTTATTAGTAACGCGTACATTCGACGCGGAGTCGGAACGTAGACAACCTACACTAAACTTAAATCTATGTTACTAATGGAAAGGTTTCAAGTTAGTGTTGACAGAAATATTACTAGTATATGCAGAGAAAACAATCCATTTCTCGCGTTCTCTTTCTATCACACAGTTTTATTTCAAATTCAGATTGTAAACAAAACTGGTCGCCGCATTATCGTCATAGCAATAACAGCCGTATGCGGTTTATGTGGGATTCTTGTGAACCTGGTGCCCCACGCCATCATCAGCGTCGTGTTGTTTGGAGTCTTCCTGCTTGGCATCCTCGTGATAGGGCTGTATGCTGCTATTGTCGTTGCCTTATTTCCTACACACTTAAGGTAATCATAATACATATTGTGACGAAAGGACTATATTAAGGCTGGTTGAAAATGAGACACGTTCCTAGGTGAGGTAAAATATGTATATTCAGCTCGCTAGCAAAAACTTAAAGCCAAAGAATATGGCATTAGTAAACAATCGGTATATAAAAACAGATGGTCAAAATTTACAATTCAAAAATATATAAAAAACTATAAACTATCGAAAAGGTTGCCATCGGCAACACATACAAATTCCTAAATTTGAATTTAAAAATGAATCTGCCTGGAATATGTTTCGGTGAAAGAATTTTAAAATTTTGTGTTTTACCCTCCGGAGTTTACCCTTATAATAAAATCCGTTTCCATCCTTTTTCTTTATAATATATTTCTTACATCGTTGTAATGATTTTAAAAATATGTAAGTAATTAAGTAAATAAATAGTAATATATAAGATATACCCTACAACGCTAGTAGATTTTAAAATAAATTTGCGCAATTTTGAGCTCATTATATCCAAAAAGAAAACAAATAAACTCTGTATTGTAGTAAATATATACAAAAATGTTATTACAGAGCATTGGCTGTAGCTGTGACGGCAACAGGGAGTCAACTGGGGTCAGTTGTTTTAATACAAATCCTGAACTGGATGCTCACAAGTAATTGCGAAATCGCCTTTTACTTGTTTTCAGGACTGTTTGCCTGTAAGTATCTACGGCCTCGGTGATCCAGAGGTTTAGCTCACCGCTTTACTTCCTATGGTCGCGGGTTCGATTCCTCGCACGGTGCAAACATTTGTATTCATGAGTATGCTTGTATGCTTTGTATCGGTCTGGGGGTTTTATATGTATATTATGTATGTATTTACAAAAAATATATATCTAGTTATCTAGTACCCATAACACAAGCTTTAGCTAGCTTAACTTAGGTCTAGGTGACGCTGTGTTAATTGTCCTGAGGTTATTATTATTAAAGAACAGTAGAACAGTAGTAATTTTAATTGTGATGGATCAAACATCCAATGTTTAACCAAAAGTAGACTTTGTATGAAGTCGTCGGTGTAAGTACTTCAGTGTCTCCTACTTCAATTAGGTAGAATTACAGGATAAGAGGCATGACATATTAAACCTTTTGCATGACATAACATGAGTGATTTTTTATTGGATGATAATTGAATGGTGTTACATGAGGTATCGCGTCAATGGTGCCTATGCTAACGGTATACGCTGGCCGTGCATCAGTGAGTGCGCCAGACTATGATGGGATGAACATGAGGTCAGGTCGGTCTAGCGATTTATCGTGATGGTTTCTAGGGAACTGGGTGGAGGTTAACATGAAATGGTACATTACTAACAATGGGTCATCGGTCCACATTACTGACAATCCCCTGCTCTCACATGAGTGGTATCACGGATGTTTCATGATAACATGATATCCGTACTGTTCATGTATATAGGCGACGGTTGCTGCTTACAATCAGATGGGTCGTCAACTAATTTGTCTTCTATTTAAAATGCATAAAAACACTATTGGAGTCACGAGACGGTATCGTGTCCATTGTTCTATTCAAGCTTCTCGTATATATATAGCTATAACAGAATAGCAGAGAGGGTGGATTCACTGCCCTCACTGAGTTATAGACCGTTTTGTCTCATTCATTAGTTTTAAATTATATTATTGTATGGGCAACAGTTGTATTGTGTGAAAAGTTTTTGTTTGAGACAAATAAAGATTATTATTATTATTATTATATATGCGATGGTTTTCTTACCATTAGTTTTATCTATCTTATACTATATTTTATACATATTTACGATATTTTTGCGTCAAATATTTATCTTATATCTTATATATAAAATTCTCATGTCACAATGTTGGTTACCATACTCCTCTGAAACGGCTTGACCGATTTCGAAATTTTATATGCATATACAGTAGGTCTGAGAATCGGCTACTGTCTATTTTTCATACCCCTAAATGATAACGGTCCACCCCTAACATTTTTTTTTTATTTATTGGACTTTATGTATATGTGACATTAAAAATTCATACAACCCTAAATTTTCACTCTTCTATTATCGACACCTATTTGTTATAGCGATTTTGTTCACCCGCAAACCAGCATTTGCGGGTCCGCAAGTATAAATTATAATTTTGGTTCCCATTTTATGATTTTAGCATCAGCAGTGGTGGCATCATTTCTACCTGATGACCGGCTGTTCGCCCGACGGCCGTCCCCTCGCAAGGACATTGAAACAACAAAATTCTGAGCACCCGCAACACCAGGGGAATTGCAAGTGCGTTGCCGACCTTTTAAGAAAGAAACTCTTTTCTTGAAGGTTTCAATATCGTATCGATTCGGAAATACCATTGCTGGGAGGTGATTCCACCATGTGGTTGTGCATGACAAAAAACTTATAAGAAACTCAAAACTACTGTTACTGATTTTAAAATTTAAATGATGAACACATGATATCTAAATTAGGGGTTATATTGGAGATCTAGTGGGGGTATATTCGGTTAAAGGGGCACATTGAACTATACAGCCTCTATATCACTTTCCGAGGGTGGGTGAAGGAGAAGCACCCTCACAAACATGTAATAAAATTAGTCATTACCTGCTGGTAAATCCTATCGAATCATAGTTAAACCTACACATTGAAGATAAAAAAAATAGCCAGCTGGCTGTAGCGGCGCATATTATACATCTGCTGATAGCACGAACTTGTCAAGAAATTCAGTGATTACCTCTGTAGCAGACAATCAAAACCGAACAAGGACCTTTATTTATTCTCCAGCTCGAAGGAACATAAACTGTAGGGTCATCGTGACCTGTTCCTGGCTCGTGGGCCATTAGGATTGATTATAAATTTCGATGCTCCAGGATGCAACCGACTATTGCTATACCCCTTATTTTAACGTTGTGTGTAGCCCATTTTAAATTGATGATTGCAGATAAACTATGTAATATTTAGGTATTATTAAAATTGTGAATTTGTGAATACATATTAGTTAATACATTTTGTAAATAAATTGAATATTGTGATTAGGTAATCACAACGCAGTTTGAGTGTCTGATTCCAAATATAAATAAATAAAAAAACTGTTTGTTTATCATATAAATACTTGATTATACCATGTGCGCTGTAGCATGGTGCGGATGGCAGTTTCATTAACGTTTCGTTTCACTCTTAAAAGTTGCCGCGATTTACAAATTATGACTTAGTGTTTCAGCTGTACCACATTCGTAATATATTAAATCATTAATAACTGTATTAACTTAAATGTAGCAATTGTTAGATGTAAAATTAGTAACTGTCACCTAGACCATGCTACAGCGCACACTGTATAGCACAAGTGTTAAATTTTTCAAACTGATATTAGAAATAGAAATAACCTTTATACAAATAAATTCAAATTTAAGGACTTTTGAATAGTCATACTTATTTCCTTTAATGCACCGTTCAATGCGTTGTCAACTCCATGAAAACAACCACTCCTGAAATAGAAATAGAAATAATTTTTTTTCAAATAAACTCATTACAAGCACTTTTGAATAGTTATATTTTGATTCTACCACTCATTCGGAATGCAGATTCATCACAAGAAGAATGAGCAAGAAACTTGTGTGTTGCTCTTTTTAATAGATGTTTTTTTTATATAAATAATTACAGTGTAACAAGTAAGAGGCATGCGATAATCAACATAGAAATCGCTACGCACTAATTATTAGTGTAATCAGATAATATTGTCAGTGCTATGTATTTAAAATTTTTTCTACAAAAAGGTGAAAGAAAGGTGACTCTGTATTCTATAATTTTACGCCCATCAATCAAACCACATGTTGTAAGACTTGTAAGGCCCGGTGGTTTAGCGGTTTAGCACACCGCTTTGCTTCCGGTGGTCGCGGGTTCTATTCCTCGCATGTAACAAACTTTTGTATTTATGATTTGATGTATGTATTACAATAAAATGCACCTCTAAGTATTTATATCAGTTGTCTAGTACTACATAAAACACAAGTCATGCTCTGTTTTCCAAGGATGTTATTATTATTAACAAAAGGCGGCTGAAATTTGCTATCTTTTTGAAGACATATATATATACCTACTTTTAGCTTTATAAATATTTTAAGTACTGCGCTTTTTGATGTCACAATATAAATAAATCACCTGATAAGTCACCCTCCCATCACTGCGGTCGAGACAACACCGACAACTGGGCCTTTCCCAATAATCTTAAACAAATTTGCTCTAATCTTTAATTGTTAACTATCTCGTAACGGGCACATAAAATTATATTATAGTAAACGTAATAAATTTTATAGATAACAGAGTGTATGGAGATGTTTTATAGATTGTAGTAGCGAACACATTCGATCTTAGCACATCCACTGTCACGGAATTTGCAGAAATTTGGCCTGATGATAACTTGATTCATATTATATGATTAAAATTCTAAATCTGCTAAGTACCGGCTGAAGGCCAACTCACCCCTGACGGATACGACTTTAGTCTGAGCCTCTGAGGGCACCGCTACGGTTTCGAACCTCGGCTCAGGCCGTTGTAATTTGCCGATTGAATTGGAAGGGCGATCGATCGGAGGGTACCTTCTTATTGGTGATCAAATTTCGACTGATATTGAATCTACACCCATATTGCGACACGTGTTTGCAATCAGTCATTTAATAGAGTTCGGATATAGCTTGGAAGCCTAGTGGTGACTGTTCGTCAACCAAACTGCAAGAAAAGAACGGCTCAGGCCGTTGTAATTTGCCGATTGAATTGGATGGGGGATCGATCGGATGGGACAGTTGAAGGGTAAGATCAGAAAGGGAATAACAGAATTCGAGGCGTGACATTTTCACGTGATTACCGTGGTGCTGTTCATGGCGACCACTTACCATCAAATGGGCTGTTAGCTTATTTGCTATTCGTGTTATAAAATATAAAAAAACAATCAAAGCTCACGGACTGAAACAGTCAATTATATTATAACTATATCATAACATAGTATAAAACAAAGTCGCTGTCGCTGTCTGTCCATATATATATGCTTAAATCTTTAGAAATACGCAACGGATTTTGAATTTTATAATAGATAGAGTGATTCAAGGAGAAGGTTTGTGTGTATAATACATTTACACCCATGCGAAGCAGGGGCGAGTAGCTAGTTACATAGTATTTATAAAATAAAGTCGCTGTCGCTGTCGCTGTCTGTCCCTATGTATGCTTAAATCTTTAAAACTACCCAACGCAGTTTTCTTTAATAGATTCAAGAGGAAAGTGTATTTGTATAATACATTTACACCCGTGCGATGTCGGGGTGGTTAGCTAGTTGTAAATATTGTAATTGTCCTATATTGTAAGTATATTATATTTAGGCACAAGAATTAATTGTTGGAATTCTAAAACAATGTTATAAAATCCCTATTTTTGTTGATAAATTTTATTTGGTAACGGAAATGTGTGGTAACGGAGTATGCTATTACCACTAAGCCTTTGGATAAGATGTAGTAAAAGTAAATAGATAAAAAAATATTTCTGTTTTAAACTTTCATCGTGGTTGTTACATAAATTTACAATATAAGGCAATCTTTTTTACATATTAAATTTTGATAATGCATTGCCCACATGAATGTCTTTTGGGGTATAGTTGACTGGGAAGAAATGCCTTAAGTCTGCCATGTGCTCCTTTATTTGTGTTGGTTTGTTTGTAATACTTTATTGTACAATAAAATTATTAATAAAAGGACTCAATGGACCTAAATGCGTACAATGGCGTACAATGCGTACTTATCCCAAAAGAGGGATTTCTACCAGTCAACCTTTGAGTGACTGAGAGGAATTGTGGAGTGGTGGAAATAGGTGCAATGTAATAATACACATCACAATGAAATATGTACATAAATATATGCAAATTATTATATTATAAATAATAAAAATATATATGTACTTATAAATGTGTATTGGTGCATTGATTTGTAATAAATAAAAAGAATTGAAGATATGTCTGTTCGTAATAAATTTTTATGTCGACTGCCATCTACAGTCGACTGGGACGTTTGTAACAGCATCGAAATATCCGGAGCTCATTAACAATATTATAATGGTAAATATCTTGTTTATATAATGAATAAAAATATTATTTCTATCGTATTACCACAGATAACATATGGTATTACTATGTAATATTATATTATCTGTGGTATTACTTACTAACAACCTCTCAAAACGCCTGAAAAGGACACATACTGCAGTAGCATAATGAACAATGCAGCTCTTAATTCCTAAATTAACGCCAGAGGGCCTCATTAAATAAATAGACGTGCACTCAATGGACTGCAATCTCGCATTGTCATCTGCTACACAATACGATTATAGTATACTTACTGATTGCATATATACAGGGAAGAAAAACCAAATTTATTGCAAGTATTCATTTATATGTTTATATGTTGTTAGATACTAATGGTCATCCAGTGGTCAACATTCGATCTTAAGTAATTTAACATTCAATAAGACTAGACAAATAATATTGATGAGAAACAATAATAAACTACATATATATAACTTAATGGTGACTGGCTGACATAGTGATCTATCAACGCACAGCCCAAACCACCGGACGGATCCGGCTGAAATTTGGCATGCAGGTAGATGTTATGACGTAGGCATCCGGTAAGAAGGGATTTTGATTAATTCTGCCCCCAAGGGGATAAAATAGGGGATGAAAGTTTGTCAATTGGAAACTGTACTGAGACTTTGCATGCATAAAGCTACTATGGCGTAGGAATCCCCTAAGAAAGATAAATTCCACCCGTAAGGGGGTAAATTAATGCGAGCGAAACCGCGGGCAAAAGCTTGTCTATTCATAATTTGATCTCAGAACAATTCAAATTGAAATTCAAAAATCATTTATTCATGTAGGACATTTTAGCCGCTTATGAACGTAATTTTTTTTTACATTACAACTTTAATTTTTTTATATAATAAACAAAAGAATGTATATGCGTGGACGTTAGCGGTATGATCTATAATCATATGATAGGGCTTTATTTATATGCCAGTTTTGGTATATAAATATTTTATTGTAATAAAAGTAATTTACAGACAGATAAAGTAATGATGAACAGTATAAAAAAATTTGTGATCAGAAGTACAATAGTTTAGAAGAATGTTTGCAGAAGAAACCATTCTGTAGTTAGTTTCCCGCGCAAACGCAACACGCCACAGATACACAATATGCACGGCGCACAGCCGCAGAAGGA